TGTCAGAAGGCTTTCTCTGGTCACAGGAGCCCAGTTTACTCACATATGCATGGCAAGCCAGAAGGGCCAGGGAATTAACACCAAGCCCCTGGAGCAGGCCTCAACCAAAGACTGAGTTGGTGTGTAAAAATTCTAAATTGCTGGCTCCATTGCCCCATAGGTGGGATAACTGAGGTGTGTGTACTAAACCATTTCCTAGAGTTCCTCAGCAGGATTCAGCTCTGGGGCTGAGCTGGTAACTCAGTTGATAAAACCCCTATTATTTGCCACATTCCGTTCTCTCCTCCCCTGCCAGTATTTCCTGAAATTACTGCCCAAATAGACCATTTGCACTTAAGTCCTGTCTCAGGGTATGCTTCTGGGGAAACCCAAACAAACACTGGCTTGGCCCAGAGTAGGTGCTAAATAAATATTCACTGAATGATTATATGAAATGATAAATGTGTTTTATGAGTAAATGAATGAATGAATGAATATTTAAGTTGTGTTTCTATGTTTCTCCATGAGGAGAATATAAGCTTCTGGGGGGCAGAGACTGCCTGGTTCACCTTTGTATTCCTGCTTAATGCGTCTGACTCATACCAACAGTTCAATAAGGTCGAGTTGAATTAAATGACCTCAAAATAGGAGTTGGTGGAAAGAGAAAGTGGCCACATAAAAGACTGTGGGTTTTAATGAGGTGGAGGTGAGACTTTTTGGGGCATTGTAACAAAGTACTTTAAAAGGGAAGGAGGAGTGGTGATAGCATCTACTTGTTAAGAATAAAAATAACTTTCTTATGAGAAAATGCTGGGGTAGTGAAGAAAGAAATGAGGGAAAAGCTGGTGAGTGATTGAGATGAGCCAGATCATGTTTAGATGATACATCTTCCTCCTAACACAAGATAATCTGAAGTGCTAAGTGGGTTTTTCACTTTATTTATATTGTTGATTTCTTTCTGGCAATTTTTAGAGTTTCATTGCCAGCTACTGTTACATGATCCTGCTAAAATACAATGGTTTTAAAAGCTGCCAGAGGGCCGGCCTGTGGCTCACTCGGGAGAGTGCGTAGCTCACTGGGTGAGCGTGGTGCTGACAACACCAAGTCAAGGGTTAAGATCCCCTTACCGGTCATCTTTTTGAAAAAAAAAAAAAAAAAGCTGCCAGAAATGAGGTCCCTGTTTGCTCTCAGGCTACAGTGTCCTGCTGTTTTCTTATTTCTGCTGCTTATTTTTGTACATGAAGGTTTTTTTCCAGTTTACTGGAAAGCAGTTTAGTGTTGAAGCTTTCTTTTGTGAAGTCAAGGATATATGTGTGGGTGCACATAATTATTATTACTCAGTTTTATGTAAACGCAAAGACATTTACAGTCAAATATGTTCCAAGGATCCATATTATAAGACACCTTTAATTTAAATGAGATAATACATGTGAAAGTTCTTAGCAAAGAACCTAAACCACAACAAATGCTCCATAAAAATACTAGCTGAATTCACATCTGGATTACAGCACCCTTTATTATCCATGCTTCTGCTTCCCACTGTTGGTATGAATCATCGAGAATGATTTTTAAGTTTTAGAGCTCTACTTTGCAATAATGATTTACTCTTTTCTTTTTTTTTTTTTTTTTGTCTTTTGTCTTTTTTCCGTGTCTGGCAACGGATCGCAACCCTCAGTGTTGCCCCCGTACCGGACCGGGACCAGCTACGGGATTGCAACCCTCGGTGTTGCGCCTGCACCTCGCTCAGCCAGTGAGCGGGAACCGGTCTGTATGTGGGATCCGAACCCTCAGGCGGGAGCGCCACCGCGCTTCCCAAGCGGCGCACTATCCAGTGCGCCACCGGGCCGGCCCACCAGTCATCTTTAAAAAATAAATAAATAAATAAAAATAAAATTTTAAAAATGGTTTGAGGTTAAACATAGTAAATCTCAAGCCCAATCCAGGAGTCTGGGAGGCCCAAATATCCCAGACGCAACTCAGCTCCCTCCCACTCCCTAGGTTAAGGGATGCCCAAGAGCACTTGGGTGCTTAATCACAGAAATCGCTTGTTAATTGAGGGCAAGAGCCTCTCCTGGTTGAGGCCTTCCTTCCATTTGCTGGCAGCCAAGCAGAGCCATGTCCTCCTTGATGTCCTACATCAGCGCTTCATTCCCTTGGTTTGAGGCCTATGGACTGCAGTAGAAATATTAAAGATCCTGGGAAAGGTGACACAGTAAGCTGTATCCTGAATTAAGTTTATCAGGTCCTTTCCTGAGAGGAGATGTTAATGGGGAGACGGAGCAGAGATTACTTAAGTGGTTCAAGGTCTCAGAATTCACAGACAGATTTGTCAAGACCAGCCTTAAACTCAAGTTGTTCTTGGCCATGGCTGTGTGAAACTCCTGCTCCCACTGAAGGTCATAGCAGTTGGTCATGGGTCAATTGCTATCCTGAAGCCACTGTGAGCGGCATTCTTTCATCTACTACTTCTAGAAATGTGATGGTGAAGGCAATGAGAACGAGCAGGGGGCAAGTGAAGCTGCCCATAGCAAGAATGTCAGAGCTGTGTCAATGGTCAAAGGTGTAATTAGCTTTGCAAATGCATTCCTAAACCCATCATGTCCCTCCGCACACAGGGCTGGACAGCTGGCAGTGTCAGGCACCAGACCTGTCTAACTGCTTGATAGGGCCTTTTTGGCGACACTTTAACCCATTCCATTCTTCGTTTATTAAAGGCTTCAGTTGGAATGAGCCAGGCCCAAAGATTTACCTTTGGAGAAGAGAGATGAAGTCCTGGTAAGACTTCCTAGGTATATGTGAATCTGCTTGTGGAGGCTGAGCTGTCTCTGTCCACTTGTGGTTGGTATTTCCAGAAATGACTGAATTCTTCCCATTTAGAAGTTTAACTGTTTGTCTGTGGTCTCATGCTGGGATTTGAAAGCCAGATGTTTTTTTGCTGCTTCTCATTTCTCTAGGTCACTTTTCTGTTGCAAAGCCATCTATCTCATCAGGTGATAAAAATCTCCATAAATTGTCCTACTTTGCTTAGCAGAATGTCTGTGTAACGATAATAATGCCAGTGCCTCACATATGTACACATTTTATAATTTTCAAAGCATTTTTGCATATATTATCTCACTACAAAATGTTGTCCTGGGCGTTCTGTATTTACTCATCATTTTCACTTTTCTTTTTTTTCTTCTCCTGCCAATTTTGAGTGTACTACATAGGGTTTACTTTTTTCCCCTTTTCATATTTTTCCCCCAAGAGCTATAAGTGGCAAAGGAATTTTTCAAAGAACAGTAAAAGCATATACAAGTGATACTGTTTTCTATGGCAAAGTGAAGATAACCTGGATGCTCTTTATAACTCATCCCTGAGAATTATGTTCCAGTTCCTTGGGTTCACACTCTCAGAAGAAGTACTAAAGATAATTTATCATAATGATTGTGCCCCCCCCCATTCTTATCAGTAAAACATCTGCAATAGGGGGCAAGTGTGCAAGTTAGAACCATATAGTAGTTTGGGGGTTGTTTTTTGTTTTGTTTTTCATTTTTGTGCTTAGAGCTTTTGTATTGATGTTACTCATTCCCTGATGAAGAAACAGTAACTTCATTAGCACCTTTTATTTTCTTGGAATTATATGATTATGTAGTATAATATCACTTATGAAGTAGAAGATGCCTTAGGTTAAAGCCTATAAGGTAGTTCTGTAAATTGTTTTAAAGATTTTCTTTAGAGTGTTATAGAGACTCCTTTAAAGTTCATTAGGGCAGACCAAGTAATTCCTTGAACTCTCTTCCCATTGCCCTATGCATTCCTTTTCCTGTCTATCATTCATCCCCAGATGCTGGGTGCACCATAGCTGCCTAGGTAACTGCCTTGAGTACTACAAACCATAGGATGTCAGGGCTGAAAGGGACCAAGCAAGTTGCTGTGAGGCCCTCTGACTCTTGCATTCCCTCTGTACCATGCTCATGGGACCAGTGAGCCTTGGCCATTCTATCTTAAGCATCCCTTTTGTTGAGCACAAGTCTATCTCCCTATAACTTCTGTTCAACAAACATTGAGTGCCTACTATCCTCCAGGCACTATTCTAGGGGCTGAGGATACAGTAGTGAAAAACAAAATAATGCTCTTATGGATTATGTTCTAGCTCTAGCTCTTGGGGTCATAGAAGACAAGCCAAATAATTGTTCTGCATTGGAAGCCTTCAGAAACTTGAAGACTGTGCTTACGTTATTCTGAGTTTTTATGTCAAGCAAATACTCTCAATAAACCCAGTGTAATACAACTTCAGGTCTTTTCACTATATGGATCAATTGTCTTTAGATGCATTCTAATTTTGTTTAATATTGAATTGATTTTCAGTAGATTGATTTTTTAAGTTAAAGAAATTTTGGAAAGTACAGAGAAATATAAAATTCAAAGAAGAAACTACCTGGAATCCCATTACCCACTGTTAAAATATTGGTATATTTCCTTCTAACCTTTTCCAACTTGTATCTGTTTACATAGCTGAGCTCATAGTGCATTTTTTATAATTTTTTCTTCTGTTTTTTCATTTGACATTTGTGCATTCATTCATAAAAATCATTGAAATGGTTGTATCATGTTCCAGTCAGATAGACTTTTTAAAGTTACGTCATCACAAGAGTGGTAGGGATTCCTGAAGTGGGCTATACTATTTCCTTTTCACTAATCTCAGCCTCCTAAACCACTACACTCTGGGGAATACTAGCCCTACATGGAAGGAAGGTGCTAGACTCCACATCCTGTGGATTCTTCTAACTTGGATTATTCATGACATGCTGCTTTTATCCCCCTGTTCGTTCCTTTGTGTTTCCTCATCATCATGCTTTGCCCATTTGTTTGCAGTCTAGGGTTGACTGTAGAGTTTTCTTGTTATGCCAGGATATCCAGGTGGCCGTTTTTGTGGCTCTGTTCCTGCTAGGTTCAGGCTTGAGGAGCCTGTTGGAACCAGGCCTTCTGCTGGACTAAAGGATGGCAAGCACAGAACTCACTTTGTTCTTGCGTTGCAGGCCTCCAGCTGAACCAGAAGGCCCTCACCACCTTCCCGGATGTGGTGCTTGTGCGGGTGCCCACACCCTCTGTGCAGTCAGATAGTGACATCACTGTCCTGCGACACCTTGAGAAGCTGGGCTGCCGCCTGGTCAACCGCCCACAGAGCATCTTAAACTGCATCAACAAGTTCTGGACATTCCAAGAGCTGGCTGGACATGGGGTCCCCATGCCAGACACCTTCTCCTATGGTGAGTCTCCTCGAAATATGGTTGGGACTTATCTTTCCAAACCACCTGCATCTCTATGTTTTCTCTCACCGGAAACCTTCTAGTATCTCTCGTTGCTTTTCAATATGAGTCTGTTCATCTTAGGTGATTCAACGTCTTGAATCCTTATCCTGACCATTCCCTCCATCTGAAATGCCTTTGCTTCTTTCTCTCGTAAGTCATTCATTAAATACGTATCTGGTCCCTGTACCAGCCAGCTGCATAGAAAGATAGGCAGACAAATAAATAAGTAATTGATAAAAGTGCGTGTGTATGTATCTGGTACATACTGAGTGCCAGCCACAATACCAGGCATTGGGCTATAGCAGTAAGTGAGTCCTGCCCTCAAGGCAGTCCCAGTTCATCAGAGGCAGAGGACAAGTAAACAGGTAGTTTCAGTGCAGTGTCGTAAGTGTTGTGGTATAAGTGTATGCAGGGTGGTATAGGAGGACATAGCAGAGCTCCTAATGCAGTTTAAAAGACCTTGAGGAAGGCTTCCTAAAAGAGACAGCATCTAACTAAGCTGACGTTATCCAGCTACAAGAAGGGAGCTAGGGAAGTAAAATAAGCAGAGAGCAGAATGTAAAAGACCTAGAAGTAAGAGAGAACATGACGTATTGGTGGTATTGTGAGTAGTTTGTAGAATGTTAAGGGAGATAGAGTTGAGAAATAAGTCTGGAAAGATAAGGAGTGACACATAGTATGCGAAGGAGATTAGGGTTAATCCTGAGACTAATTGGAAGTTATTGGAGGGCTTTAATCAGGGAGGTGGCCTGATCACATTTATAGTTCAGAAGATCACTTTGGCTACACTGTGGAGAAGGAATTGGACAGGGGCAAAGTAGAAACAGGATAAGTAGTGGTAGGTTTTTAAACTAATCCAAGTGACCAACAATGGTCTAAACTAATAGTAAGAATGAAGATGTGAAGAGATTCAGGAATTATGAAGGAGTTAGAAACCATAGGACACGATGATTGATTGGAGATGGGGAATATGGAGAGGAATCAAAGGTGACTCTGGTTTCTGGTTTGGGCAACCAGATGTGAAAGCAAACATTCACTGAGACTAGAAACATGAGGGTTGGGAGGAGAAGCAGATTCATGAGTGGGAGCTGGGGGTGTTGGGGAGAGATGATTTCAGTTTGGGACATATTCTGTTTGAGGTGCCTGTAGTATATGCAAGTAAAAATATTCATTAGGCAGTGGATAAATGGATCTGGAGCTCCTGAAATAACTGCAGACTAGGGAAGTAAATTTGGAAACCTTCATTATGTTAAGTGAAGTCATAGGAATGGATGAGATTACTCAGGGAGAATATGAGGGAACTTGAAAAAGTTCGTGGAAAAATAGAATTAAAAGGTCATATGAGCGTTCGATCCCTATTACCAACCAGTGCTAAAGAAAAAAAAAAAAAAAGATAATATGAATTTTTCCATGAACTTTTTAAATAGAATGAAAAGAGGGCTGAACTGTATACTGAAAATGGTTAAAGTGGAAAATTTTATGTTATGTGTATTTTACCACAATAAAAAAATTAAAAAGAGGGAATCCTTTAGGGAATGGATAAAGGAAAAGGAACTTATAAAAGAAACTAAGTAGGAGCAACTTGAGAGGTGAGAAGAGAGGTCACAGAAGCCAATGGAGTATTTCCAAGAAGGATGGTACAATCAGAAGTATTGTGTGATTCCAAAAGGACAAGTAACCCAAGCACTGAGACATGCACGTTGGGTTTAGCGGCAGGAAGTTTAATGAATACAGCTTCAGTTTAGTGATGGGGAGAGAAGCCAAATTGTCAGGGGTGAGGAAGTGAATGGTGAGTGAGGAAATGGAAACAGTGGGTTTCTAGAACTCTTTTAAGTAGCTTGATGGTGGGGATACAAAGCTGTGGTTAAGGGATGATGCTGGGTCAAGGAACAGGGACTTTAAGATGGGAGAGAGCTGAGCTGTTTAAAATGCTGATGAAATTAGTTGAATATACAGCAAAGAGGAGACATTTTAATGGCACAAGATCCCTGAAGAGGTGAGAGGGAAAGGGGTCCAGAACAGGGGGGCAGGGGTGGCCTTAGATTAGGAGGACCGCTATCTCACTGCATCATAAGGGAAGGAAAGGAGGATGGCTAGAAAGGCGTTATGTTTATCAGCACGAGGTCAGGAAGTCGGGAGTTCCCTTCTTATAAAATGTCCTCTTCGTGAAGATGCCCCTGATTACCTACACTGCCTCCTCATTAAAAAAAAAAAAAAATTAGTAGCACTTTTGTGAACAAAACAGGTCTCGTTAGTATTCCAGAATATTTTGCTTTGCAAAAATTAATAAACTGTGACACCACCTGAGGAAGGCAGAATAATGTCCTGCCAAAGATGTCCCATGGCCTAATCCCTGGAGCCTGTGGGTGTGTTAGGTTGCATGGCAAAAGAGGATTAAGGTGCAGATGGAGTTACGGTTGCTAATCTGATGACCTTAAAGTAGATTATTCTGATTTATCTAGGTGGGTCCAATGTAATAAGTGTCCTTAAAAGTGGAAGAGGGAGGCAAAAAGAGAGTTAGAGCCAGAGGGAGACATGACTGTGGAAGAAAATCAGAGTGATGAGATGTGCAAAGGACTCTGCCTACCACTGCTGGCTTCGATGACAGAAGAGGGCCGTGAGCCGAGGAATGTGGGCAGCCTCAAAAAGCTGAAAAAGTCAGAGAAACGGCTTTTCTGCTACAGCCTCCAGAAGGGAATGCAGCCTGCCGACACTTTCATTTTAGCCCAATGAGACCTGTGTTGGACTTGTAACTATAAAACTGAGACAACAGGTTTATGTTGTTTAAACCACCACATTGCTGGCAATTTGTTACAGCAGCAATAGAAAACTAATACACCACTGTACTTACAAAATGCATCTATCCAGTACGTTTTTGAGAGCTAGGAAAGTAAACCAGAAGGAACTCTGAGCAACCCAATATGTCATAAACCCCAACAAGCATTGAATCTCATTCACTTAATGGATGGGAAAGCCCATTAGACTCTCGTCTGGAACCTGGTTTTCCCTGTGCTGGAAAATCATCTCACAAGTTGTTTTGTTCTTTCTAAGCCCACAGCAAGGAGAAGCAGGAAGGGAGTCTTCTGCTCCACACTGACAGCAGTGAGAAGTATTAGCCTCCTGACAGCAAGGAACGTGACAAACCATAAAAACCAGGTCCCGAAACCAGAAAGCACGCTAGTTTGGTGCCATTAAATAGAGGGCAAATGTGCTCCTTAATGGCATTATGGTACAGACATTAATGTTCATGACATTGACTCTAAGTTATGAAGAAAAGGTTATGCTAAATATAGTATGTTGGGAAATCAAGGAAGTATGTAAAACAATTTAGAAAGATGGTTATGTACATTATTATTCATATTTTTAAAATGAAGGCTTAAAGGGCTGTAGTGGAGCTGGTTTTAGACTTTAGAGTCATACCTTAACTTTGGGTTACTCAAATCCCCGGGTTTGGTTTCTTTGAGTATTGGTTTTTTATTGTTGCATAACAAACTACTAAAAACTGAACAGCTTAAAATAACACCCATTGATTATCTCACAGTTTCTGTAGGTCAGAAGTCCAGCCACAGCATAGCTGCATTCTCTGCTTAGGTTTCACCATGCTGAAATCAAGGTGTCAGCTGGGGCTGTGGTCTCATCTGAGGTTTGGGGTCTTCTTACAAGCTGACTGGCTGCTGGCATTCAGTTCCTTGCAGTTGTAGGACTCAGGTCCCCACTTCCTTGCTGGGTATCAACCAGGGGCCATGCTCAGCTCCTGGAGGCCACCCTCTGTTTTCTGCCACATGACCTTTTCCATAACATGGCAGTTTGTTCCTTCAGGGCCAAGAGAAGAGTCTCTCTGATAATTCACTTTTTTTTTTAAAAAAAAGAGCTCACCTGATTAGGTCAGGCCCACCAAGGACCATCTCCCTTTTGACGAACTCAAAGTCAACTAATTATTAACCTAATCACAGGAATGATATCCTGTCATATACACTGGTCCCTCCCACACTCAGGAGAGGGTATTATACTAGGTGTGTATACCAGGGTTGGGAATCTTGGAGGTCATCTTAGAATTCTGCCTACTGCAGCTGTTGTAAAGGGAGAGATACTCACCTTCACGACTGTTGAGGGGATTACATGAACTAGGGCATGTGAAGCCTTTACAACATAGAAGGTACCTGATAAATGTTGGTTTTCTTACCTCTCTGCTCCCACCTTTTACATTACAGGTGTGCAGTGCATGTCTGTTGGATCGAATGGGTTTGAATTGCTTTAATCAGAAAGACACGAGAGAATTCCCACCTGGGGGTGGGGGCAGTGCTGGGGTGACCATTGCCTGACCATCAGCCTTACCTTCACTGACTTTTACCTTTTCTTGGCAGGTGGGCATGAAGACTTTTCAAAAATGATTGATGAAGCTGAGCCCCTGGGCTACCCAGTCGTGGTGAAGAGCACACGAGGCCACAGGGGTCAGTGCTCCTCCTCTGGGGCTTCCTTGGTCATCAGTCTGCTAGGGCTGCAGCTCTGCCCAAACAAGATACTCAAGGGGTGCTGCTTGGAAAAACGGAGCTCCCCCTTGAGGAGCTTGCCCTGTAGTTCTCTCTGTCCCCGCTCTCTTTGCTTTTGTCAGACCTTTCTCATCTCTTCCATGGGGTATCATAGCAGATTCCTTACTTGACCGATTGGTTTCCCTCATTTCACTGCCAGTGCATTCTCTGTTCTTTTTTTTTTTTTTTTTTTTGTCTTTTTCATGACCAGTAAGGGGATCGCAACCCTTGGTGTGGTGTCGCCCACACCGCGCTCAGCCAGTGAGCGCACCGGCCATTCCTATATAGGATCTGAACCCGCAGCGGGAGCGTCGCTGCGCTCCCAGCGCCTCACTCTCCCGAGCGCGCCACGGGGCCGGCCCTTCTGTTCTTTTTTTGAAGTAATTTCTCTGAAACAGATCTGTTCTTGCTGAAAAGCCCTCCCAGGCCCTGTGTTGCCTATTAGACAAAGTCCATAACCCTCATTGTGGTGCTGAAGGCACTCTACAAACAGCCTTAACTTTCCTTTGCAGCCTTCTCTGGCCACATGAACCCTTCATGATCCATTCCAGACTACTTCTCATTCACCAGACCATGCTTTTTCCTCTCTTTAAACATCTGCTCTTCTCCTTTGCTGAGAATGCCATCTTCCTCTGCCCACCTGATGATTCTGCTCATCATTTAAGGCCAGCTCCAGATGTCATCTCTTTTCTGTCCACATCCTGATCTCCCTTCCCTCTCTTCCACACAAAATTAATGGCTCATCCCTTTTTGTTTCCAGACCACTTTGTACACTCCTTGAGCATAGTGTTACACTTTGTGACAGTTACAGGTTTGTGTGCCTGTTCTCTTTATTACATTGTGAGCTGCTCAGGGGTAGTGACCAGATCCTAAGCATTTCTGTCTCTGTTTGGTTTGCTGCAGTGCTCAGTGCACAGTAGGGACTCAGTAGGGACATATGCAACAGAGTGCAGTCATTCTGCAGTAGGTAAGCAGGTACCTCATTGTGACACCCAGATGGCATACTTAAATGCTCAGGGCATCTGGAGTGAGGGGAGGTAACCCTAAACAGACATGTAATGAGCAATTACCATGATAGAGGGACTGTGAAATATAAATGAACTAGACACAATTATTGCTGTCAAGGAGCTCAGAAGTGTAGACAGCAGAGACAGCTGCACTGCAGGGTTATGACCATTGTAGCAGGCATGCCTAGGGGCCTGTGTGAGCCTAAAGGAGAGAGAGCCGAACTTTGCCAGGAAAGCTTCATTGGAAGAAAAAGAGACTTAAGTCGAAGGGTAGAATTTGAACTGAAGAAAATGAGTGAGCAACATGCAGAAGCAGGTGTAAGAAAGCAGCCTGTGAGAGTAGAGGGGTCCTATTGAAGAGCCAGAGAAATGTGTCTGGGTGGCAGGGTGGGGCCCTCAATACTATTCAGATATGCTACTGTGCTAACATTTAATCAACCTCTCCACTATTTTTTTTTATTGTGGTAAAGTGTACATAATGTGAAATTCAACTAATATTTATTGAGTGCCTACAAAGTGCCAGCCACTGTGCTAAGTTCTGGGGATACAGATAAGAACAAAACAAAAATTCCTGCCCTCCAGGAGCTTACATTGTAGAAGGGTAAGACAGACAATAAACAAAAATTAAATATAATACATAATATATTTTTTAAAGTTTTAAAAATTGAGATATAATTCACATGATAAATTTACCATTGTAAAGCGTAAAATTCAGTGGGTTTTACTATATTTGCTATGTTTTACAACTATTAGCACTATCTAATTTTAGAACGTTTTTATCACCCCCAATGAAACCCCATACCTATTAGAAGTTAGTCCCAGTTACCCCTCCCCTAGTCCCTGGCAACCACTGATCTACTTTCTGTTTCTATAGATTTGCCTGTTTTGGACATTTTATATAAATGGATTCATACAATATGTGGACTTTTGTGTCTGGCTTCTCTCACGTAGCATGATGTTTTCCAGGTTCATCCACGTTACAGTATGCAATACTACTTCATCCCCTTACATGACTCAGTAATATTCTATTATTTGGGTACATCACATTTTGTGTACCTGTTCATCAGTTGGTGGATATTTGAGTTGTTTTCAGTTTGTGACTATTATGGATAATACTGCTATGAACATTTGTATGTAAGTTTTTGTGTGAACATACATTTTCATTCTTCTTGGGTATATACCTAGGATTGGAATTGCTGGGTCATATCGTAGTTCTGTGTTTAACTTTTAGAGGACTGCCAGATTGTCTTCCACAACGGTTTTGCCATTTTACTTTCCCACCAGCAATATATGAGGGTTCCAATTTCTCCACATCCTTACCAACCCTTTTTATTTTTTACATACATATGTATGCACACATATATACAAGGGTACTTCAAAAAATTCATGGAAAAATAGAATTAAAAGGTAATACAAATCTTTCCATGAACTTTTTGAAAACCCCTAGTATGATTGCTGTGGCCATCTTAGTGAGCGTGAAGTGGCACCTCACTGTGGTTTTCATTTGCATTTCACAAGTGACTAATGATGTTGATCATCTTTTCATGTACTTATTGGCCATTTCTGTTTTAGTCCATTTTGTGTTGCTATAACAGAATTACCTGAGACTGGGTAATTTATAAAGAAGAGAGGTTTATTTGGCTTACGATTCTGGGACAGCTGCATCTGGCATGGGCCTCAGACTGCTTCTACTCATGGTGGAAAGTGGCAAGGAGCCGACGGGTACAAGCAGATCACATGGTGAGAGGAAGCAAGAGAGAGGAGGCAATAGAGCGAGAGAGGAGGTGCCAGGGTCTTTTTAAGCAACGAGCTCTCGCAGGAACTAACATAGCGAGAACTCACTCATTAATCCCCTCTCCCCCAGGGAGAGCATTAATCCATTCATGAGGGATCTGTCCCCATGACTCAGTCAGTTTCCAACACTGCCACATTGGAGATCAAATTTCCACATGAGTTTTGGAGGGGACAACACATCCAAACTCCATCATTCCGCCCCTGGCCTGCCAAAACTCATGTCACTCTCACATACAAAATACAATCATTCTATCCCAACAGTCCCAAAAGTCTTAGCTTGTTCTAGCACCAACTTAAAAGTCCGAAGTCTCATCCTAGACAAAAAGCAAAAGTTCTTCCAGCTGTGAACCTGAAAAGCAAAACCAAATTTATCTACTGTCAAGATACAATGGTGGAACAGGCATTGGGTATACAATTTCTTTAGAGGAGTGTTTATTTATATCCTTTGACCATTTTTTAACTGGGCCTTTTTTCTTTTTATTGTTGGGTTTTTTTTTTTTTTGTCTTTTGTCTTTTTCCGTGTCCGGCAACAGATCGCAACCCTCAGTGTTGCCCCCGTACCGGACCGGGGACCGGCAACGGGATCGCAACCCTCGGTGTCGCTCCCGCGCCTCGCTCAGCCAGTGAGCGGGAACCGGTCTGTATGTGGGATCCGAACCCTCGGGCGGGAGCGCCACTGCGCTCCCCAAGCGGCGCACTTATCCAGTGCGCCACCTGGCCGGCCCCAATTGTTGGGTTTTAAGAGTTATTTATATGACGTGGATATGAGACCCTAATTCAGTGTATAATTTGAACATGTTTTCCCCATTCTGTAAATTGACCTTTAATTTCTTGATACTGTCTTTCATGCACAAGTTTTTTATTTTGTTGAAGTCCATCTCTTTTTTCCCTTGATTCCATATTACTTGATGTCATTTTGTGCTTGCCTAATCCAGGCTGAGACAGATTTACATCTATGTTGCCTTACAAGAGTTTTATAGTTTTAGCCCTTACATTTAGGTCTTTGATCCCTTTTGAGTTAATTTTTGTTCGTGGTGTGAGGTAGGTGTCCAACTTCATTCTTTTGTTATGTGGATATCCAGTTTTCCCAGTACCATTTGTTGAAGAGACTGTTCTTTCCCCAGTGAATGCTCTTGGAACCCTTGTCAAAAATCAATTGACCATATGTGTGAAGGTTTAATTTGGGGCTCTCACTTCTATTCCATTGATATATAGGTCTGTCTTTATGCTAGGCCACATTGTGGTGATTACTGTAACTTTGTAGTAAGTTTTACAAGTGAGAAGTGCAGGTCTTCCAACTTTGCCCTTCTTTTTCAAGATTATTTTGATTCTTTGGGGTCCTCTCCATTTTCATATGAATTTAAGGATCAGCTTGTCAATTTCTGCCAAAAAGGAAGTTGGAATTTTGATAGGCATGGCATTGAATCTGTAGATCAATTTGAGGAGTATTGCCATCTAACAATTTATGAACATGGGATGTCTTTCCATTTATTTAGAGCTTTAATTTATTTCAGTAATGTTTTATAGTTCTCAGTGTCTAAGTCTTATACTTCTTTGGTTAAATTTATTTATAAATATGTTATTCTTATTGATGCCATTGTAAATGGAATTGTTTTCTTAATTTCATTTTCAGATTGTTCATTGCTAAGTGTAACATATAGTGTCTTAACAGGGAAAATGGATAGGGAGTAAACAAAGTTACAGCAGTTACGTTAGACTCTAGTATATGGAAATAAATCTAAAGAAGGCAGTGAGTTTGCAGGCAGTGCCTTTGAGAAAGTTATTATTATTATTTTTTTTTTTTTGTCTTTTTTCGTGTCCGGCAACGGATCGCAACCCTCAGTGTCGCACCCGTACTGGACCGGGACCGGCAACGGGATTGCAACCCTCGGTGTCGCGCCCGCACCTCGCTCAGCCAGTGAGCGGGAACCAGTCTGTATGTGGGATCCGAACCCTCGGCGGGAGCGCCGCCGCGCTCCCAAGTGGCGCACTGTAGCAGTGCGCCACCGGGCCAGCCCGAAAGTTATTAATTTATAGACCCTTTTTTTTCCTCATCAGTCAAACAACAATAACCATCTTTGTTGTAATAGCTTAATAGGGCTAGTGTGAAATGTAAATGAAATAATAACAAGGTACTTGACACATAGTAGGTTATTAATTAATCTTAGTGCCCTCCCCCCATTTTTTTCCTCCCTACCTTTAATCTGTAGCTCCTTTATTAACTGCAGAGTAAGTCCCATATCAGAACCTCTCTGCCAGGAGCCAAAGAACCCAGTCCCTATCTCTAGCCCCCATCTCTGCTGCAAATCCTGCCTAATGTACAGAGAACCCCAGTGCCTGTAACCAAATTCCAGCCATCTGTTGCCAAGTGCCAGATCTCCTGGTATCAAATGTCTAACTGTTTGTTCCTCCACTCATTGATTGAGACTTGGAACACTGATGCTGCATCATGCCCACTTGCTGGGCCTCTCCAGCTTCCCTGACACTGACTGCCCACTTGATTGCCACTAAACTGCACATCCTCCCATCGCCTGCCACTTGGACATCTTCAGATCACTTGGCCACTGTTCCAGCTCTCTGGGGTGTCTATGATCCGGTCATCTCAGAAAGGATTGAGTACTGGTTATGACATATTTTGGAGGTTACTTTTCAGTCTTATGTGCCACTAGGAACTGATGCCCATCATGCTTTTTAGTAAGACATCTTTTTGAGATGATAGTGACACAAAACTTAAGAAAACCATCTCTTTGTTCCATATTAGCTGAAAAGAATGTTCAGACAGGGCATGCTCATGTCTCATTTGCAAAGCAAACCTATCAGGAACCCCTGCTCAGATCTGTTAACTAATATGCAAATGGAATAAGATGCTAAATAATTACAAGCATGGGTGACTCAAGCAGAAAACGAAGAATTTAGAATAAAGAAGGAATTCTTTCCCTCAGAGATCAATAGAAGTAGAGGCCATTCTTTGCAGAGTTATGTGGGTATGGACAAATAATACACTTTTATGTTTAAAAGGAAGAAGGGCGTCTGTCAGTGCCTCCCTCCTTTGAGCTCCCACAGTGTTTTGCAGAGACATCTTTTAATGTCACATCATGGTATGTTGTAGTTATCTCTTTTTGGATCTCTCTCCGTCCAGACTTGGAATTTCTCTAAAGTATATTTAATTAATTATGTTCTGTAAACAGAGATTGTCATCTACCCTGTGCATCAAACCCAGTGTGAGGTTTGGCGAATAAAAAATAAAAGTTAGGCACGGAGCATGCCTAATCAGCATCCTCAGGGTGATAGAGATGCTAATTAACTGTTTTTGGAACTGAATTGATTAGGTCCTTAGGATTTTATTTTGGCCCCTTTTCCGTGTTTCTGGAATATATTATTATTACATTTTGAAAAAAAGAGTGATGGTGGGAGGAGAGGGTCAACAGTTTTAAGACCTGAAGAAAATCAAGAGAAAAATAAGGTTCAGTCGTCCTTGGATAAGAAGCAAGAGTCTAATCAGAAAAATAGAAGGGGCCGGGCCGGCCCGGTGGCGCACTGGATAGTGCGCCGCTTGGGAAGCGCGGCGGCGCTCCCGTCCGAGGGTTCGGATCCCACATACAGACCGGCTCCCGCTCACTGGCTGAGCGAGGCGCGGGAGCAACACCGAGGCTTGCAATCCCATTGCCGGTCCCCGGTCCGGTACGGGGGCAACACTGAGGGTTGCGATCCGTTGCCGGACACGGAAAAAAAAAAGACAAAAAAAAGAAAAATAGAAGGGGCCAAGTGAGGCATGGTCAGAGAGGATTGATGAGACGGTATGAGACAGGGGGCAGGATGGTGAGGACACAGTTCTCTAATCACTTCTTTCACTCTTTGTCTCTCCTCTTAAAGGAAAAGCTGTTTTTCTGGCAAGAGATAAACATCACCTCTCAGACATCTGCCATCTGATCCGCCATGACGTGCCCTACCTATTCCAGAAGTATGTGAAGGAGTCCCACGGAAAAGACATCCGGGTGGTGGTGGTAGGGGGCCAGGTGATAGGCTCTATGCTTCGCTGCTCCACAGACGGACGGATGCAAAGCAACTGCTCTCTCGGTAAGGTGTAAAAGTGCAGAGTCTGTCTGTTGGTCAAGGAAAGCCCCCAGTAGTTTTCATTAGGGTGTTTGGACCTCTTCAGTAAATGTGTATCGATCCCTACTATCTTGTCAAACCCTCTGCTAGACACCAGATGCTCACAGATAAGAATGAGAAATGAGCCCTTTCCTACGGCAGCAAGCAGTCCTGGAGGGGTACAGATGAATGTCAGTGCTGTGACAGGTCAGGCCAGGGGTGTCAAGACACTGAGGTTTGAACCCTGTCTTGTAGGTCTTAGGATCTGGCAATCAGGTTTAAACACGGGAGTGACAAAAGGACCAGTGTTTGGGAAAAACTGCCACCTGGGTAAAGAGTGGGTTGAAGGGTAAGAAGGGGTGAGTTTGGAAGCTGTTGCAACAGCCCAGGCAAGAAATAATAAGGGTCTAAACTAAAGCAATGGCGGGAGGAATAGCATATGTTGCCTTTACATTTTAATTGAAAATTTGTGGGCTTTTTTAATGTATGATGTTATTAGAAAGCTGCAGTGTATACTTTGGTCGAATGTATAACCCCATCCCATTAACCTGTCGATAAAGTTGTGTTCTGTTTTGGTGAATGGAGATAATCCAGCAGGGATGTAATTTCTTGTCTCCAACACAGAAAGCTATCGTCAACCTCACCTAATGGATTTGTATGTTGATAATATGAAAAAAACACCTACATTTATTATTTCTTAAATCACCAGATGAGTATACTAAGTCCACTTAATAATCAAGAGGTATAGACACTGATGCGGTCCTTCTTTCATTAATACTCATCGAGCAGTTCCCCAAACAGATTCTGTGGTAGACGTTGGGAGTGTAGAGATTACAAGAGAGTCCTTGCCCCTGGGTAGCATGTGGTCCAGTAAAGAAGACATGTAAACAGATCATTGCAAGATATTGTGATAAAGTGGTATGATTGAGACAAATGCTAGATTCAGGTTGACACCATACTAAGTACCTTACGTGTTATTTCATTTTTATGATAATCATGTATAGTGCCACAGTATTGAAACTTGTGTGTTACCATTTTGTCTTTTTTAGTTACCTTACAGTACCCATTCTTTAACCCATCTAAAAATCACACAGTTTTATAATTTATATGTTGCTTTTCTTGGTGAGCTGTTTTAAAACTGTTTTATAACCTTTTTGTTATACAGTGTCATAGGTGGGGAAGGGACAGTGTTAGGTAAAGACATTAGTTACTGGACCTGAGAATACAAGTCTTAAATCTTTCTAGGGAGACTGAATGCAGACAATTAAACCTGAGGTCCTAACTTTTTAATAAGTAAGGGTAATCAGACTCCCTCTCTCCTTGGTACAGGGCGTTGTCTCACAATCCTCTCCATCTTTTTCTCCTTAAAAATCAATAAGGTAGGGCCGAGCCCGTGGCGCACTCGGGAGAGTGTGGCCCTGGGAGCGCAGCATCGCTCCCGCCGCGGGTTCGGATCCTATATAGGGATGACCGGTGCTCTCATAGCGCTCAGCCAGCGCAGAGTGGCCGGTCTCAAAAAGGACAAAAAAAAAAAATCAATAAGGTAATTTTACTTTTTCTAATCTAAAAGGAAATCCTCAATGTAGAAAATTTAGAAAATATAGCAAAGTCAAAAGAAAAAAGATTTTATCATTATCCCCACCATTTAGAGGCAAACATTTTAGCGTCATTCTTTCCAATCATTTTTTCTGACAAATATTCTTTGGCCTAGTTATGGTCATACTTGTGCAGTCTTTAATTTTTCTTGGCAGTATTATTGATTGTAAATATGCTGTTTTTCTCTATTGTGAGATATTTCGATTATAATTTTACATTTCTTCATTCAACAAATATTTATTGAGTACTCACGATGTACCAGGCACTATGATGTTCCAGTATTTTAAATAACACTGCCATCAACATCTTTGTGTGTAAAGTTTTTTTTTCTGTACATAAGATTATTTCCTTTGTGGTGGGATGGCTGGGTAAGAGAAAATCAGCATTTTTAAGACTCTAGGTAAGAAGTGACCATATTGTTTTCCCAAAGGGTGTCCTGATTTCCATCTAGACTTTGCACGAGTAATGATTCTTCCTTGAAGAGTCATTTGACTCATCAGTCAGTATCTGTTGTCACCTCTGTATCACTGTGCTTTCCCCACAGGTGGTGTGGGCGTCATGTGCCCACTGACAGAACAAGGCAAGCAGTTGGCTATTCAGGTGTCCAACATCCTGGGCATGGACTTCTGTGGCATTGATCTCCTTATCATGGAAGATGGCTCCTTTGTGGTGTGTGAAGCAAATGCCAACGTCGGCTTCCTAGCCTTTGACCAGGCATGCAACTTAGATGTGGGTGGGATCATTGCAGACTATACCATGTCCTTGCTGCCAAGTAGGCAGACTGGGAAGATGGCTGTCCTACCAGGACTGTCAAGTCCCAGGGAGAAGAACGAGCCAGATGGCTGTGCTTCAGCTCAGGGAGTTGCAGAGAGCATCTACACCATCAACAATGGGTCTACCTCTAGCGAGAGTGAGCCTGAACTGGGAGAGATCCGGGATTCCTCAGCAAGCACAGTGGGGGCCCCGCCCCCCATGTTGTCCGAACCTGGCTACAACATTAACAACAGGATTGCTTCAGAGTTAAAACTTAAGTGAATTCCTGCTTTTTGGCAGCATTTAAACCAAATCCCACTGCTTCCCTAGTAGTTGTGTGAATAAAATCTGGACTGTGATTTCATTTGCACAGAAACTAGAAATCCCATCTGGGCACTAAGCGTTCTTTCTAACAATGATTTAAGCAAATGGCCTAGCTTTGTGGTTTTTACAAAGACTAATATAAAAACACTTACCAAGAACAACATCCCGACTGATGGATTTGAGACCGATGTCTGCTGGGAGCACTTGCATATTAGGGTTGACATTAAGGCACTGACTCTGTGCTGCTGCTTCTGGCTTTTAGCAGTAGAGCCCATTAACTCGGAATGGCTCCTGGAAATACTGTACTCCAAAGCAACCATGAAATGGAGGCATGTGCAGACAAGGTGGAATGTGACTGCAGTAATATGTCCTTTATTAGTGTATGTGTGATGCTTGGAGAATACACAGTTCAAACACTGTTAGAGGATCAGTCTCTGTTCCCCATCAACCACCATCTTGACCACACTTCTCCAACACTCAGGATGTGTGGTGTTTTAGGGAGCTTCCTCATTAGCATTTTCAATGAAGCACTTTGTAGAAAGTGAGATTGAATGTTCTTTGACCTCACTGGTTGGCAAATGTCCTGCTTTGTAACTGGGGCTTTCTACAAATTGCTCTGCCACTCCAGAATTATAGACCCTGCTGCAACTAATGCCAGCTCCAGCAGCTTCTTGCACCTTTGCTGCCTTTGGCCTCAGCTGGAAATGCACTTCAATGAGCTATGGCCACATACTTTATTTTTTTAAGCGTGCACTAGAATCTAACACCATGGACTTTCTTTTCAATGGACTCTGTTCACTTGTCAACCAGAAGCCAGTGGTTTTTTACCATAGAAAGCTACTGGAAGATAATCATTCTACACACTTCTTTACTGAAACTTTGTGTACTGCTTAGCTGTAAGAGGTTTTCTTGTATGAGTTGGTTTTGAAGGTCTATTGGGCAGATAGAGCCATTGGAAACATACTTCAATCACCTTGACATTCTCTTGTCCAGGCTTCAGAGACCTGTCCTTTCCCACCTTTCCAAACTGGGGAGACTCAGGTATCAGGAATTACTCATTTCGGCTGGCCGGTTAGCTCAGCTGATTAGAGCACAGTGTTACAATACCAAGGGTTTGGATCCCCATACCAACCACCCGCAAAAAAAAAAAAAAAAGGAATTATTCATTGTACATTTTTGGGGGGCTAATGTAGACATGACACTAAGAGCATTTCATTTTAATTCTTCAATCAGTATATGAGATCCTTCCCTTGGGAGAAATCATGGAGATGGAGTTTTCCATTTCTGCTTATAGGAAGTATGACTGAAAATCAGCATGGCTACCTTTTAAACCAAAAACACTAGAACATATGCACTCAGGAGTTACCATAATTGGAGTTATGTCCTTAGAAAACCATACTCTTGAGCTGTGATGTTGCATGTGCCAAGAACACTTGGAATTCCTCTTTGGGGTTATCTTTAAAGCCATTCAAGGAAAGAGGCCTCACAACTTTACGGTCAGACCTTGTTTTTTGCCACCCCCACTTTGCCCACCAAGGTAGGCACAAGTTCCATCACCCATTTTGTTTATCAGACTTATTTTCTTATGCACTTCAGATGTTAAGAAAAATCATTCTTCGAAAAATCCAAAAGGGTTTCTAGAAATGTTCTAAAGTAAGGTCAGCTTCACTGGAATAAACATACATCTTCTCAAGGTGACTACTTTGAAGGCAACACCACCCATCTGGGTGCATAAATTCCTGTACGTATTCTATCACAAATATAAAATGTGTATAAAGTTAAACTATTACATTTTTTCACAACACACTTAAATAGAAATTGCCTTTTAAAATTAATTGTAATTAAAACCAGATCTCACCAAGTAACAGTTGTACAATTGAAAAATGTTTGGTGCCATGTAATAGAGATGTCACACTACACAGTTGTAGTTTAAATGCAATCCAACATAGGGTGCATGCTTCTGAATTGTAATCCTAGTAATGTGTCTTGTACAGTTGAAAAATAATAATACTTCACCTTTATATAGGTTAAGACATGTACCTTATCTTTATCACTCAGGGTGGCTTTAGAAGGATAGTTTTAGGTTTGTTCTCACTGGAATTGGTCAGATGCTTTCTGTGTAAACATCTGAACCAAGTGATGACCTTCTGGAAGCTGCATTCACTCATTTCCAGTTTAGTATAAGCCCAGTCTCCCCACTTTATCTAAAAGGATACCAGCAGGGCCCATCCTGAGCAGAGCATCTAGGAAGTGCTTCCAGAGTCCTTTGCCAAAGGAGACCCAATTTCCAGCTGTAGACAGCCCCCTCTGGGGTTTCCCATACCATGGTTGGCTGTGGACTCTGAGCCTCCGCAAGGTGGCCAGCTTATACTTGCCACAGCTGCCCCCAAGGCTGGCTAGAAAGGACATGGGGTACAGAGCCACAGCCTGGTTCTGGCTCTCCCCTTAAACAGCTGATAAACCTTGTACAATCGTATGAACTCTAGGGCTCCATTTTTTCATTCTTCAGGCAGGGGACATGCCTATTCTGTTTACCTCTTGGGGGTGCTTTGAGGTTGAAGTGAGTTAATAAATGAGACTGTGCTTTATGTGGAAAGTGGTAGTAGAACACCTCCCACATCTGGCTTTATAACAGTTCCTCATCACCCCTCATAGGGGGGGTTAAGAAAGAAAAAGGCCATGATTTTTTGGCATTAGCACACTAAACAGTGGTAGGGGCCCTGAAAAGGGAATGCAGCTTCTCAGAGTCCTTACTTCCTTAAGACCTGAAAGGAGGAAGGCTCTTAGTGTATTCAACAGCCTTCTGGATGTATCACATATGACCTGAAACCCTTGACTCTTGTATACCAACTAACAAAGTCTTCCTTATGTAATATAGATTGCAGTGTCTGTATATGGTCTTCCCATTATCTGGTAATAGCATCTTGAAACTAGTCAAAACTTGAATGCCAATAGCTCAGTCACTCAGAATATATATGATTTTGCACTTGGGAAAAATGTCTTCATGCTATTTGTCTGATTGGTTATGAGGTTGCCAGAATGTGGATTTGGGACTTTAGGTCTTTAGGATCTGAGAATATAAGTAGATCATCGGCCATTAGTGGCACAACTGTTTCCAGTTAAGAGGGAATTCCATGAAAATATGGACAGGGCAAGGAGGAAAAAGAAGGGGAAAGGTCTTGGGATAGTTTTATGGAAGAAATAAGAAATTGGGGTCTTGTGGAATTCTAGCGGGAAGGAAGAAAAAATGACTTCTTGGGTTTTAATGAAAAAAATTATGGATATGTATTGATTAGAGGTAGATGTCTTTGAACCTATTCTGTATGAAGATTATGAGACATATGGCTTCCCATACATCCTGCAGAAGTGGGAGACTACTTTAAGTCCTGAGGAATGCTGGTCTTGAGAACACTCTGAATGTAAACCTGGGGAAAATCGAAGCAGCTAACAGGGGAGTAACAGGGGACGTTTCCAGAATCACCCAAATAACAGCTGACCCTCCTAGAAGTTAATGGACCAAAATACCATCTGTGGGCAAAGCCCAGAGTGACATCTTCCTGAGGTGAGTTTAGGGAGTCAGGTCACAGAGTGAATCCAACATCAGTCAAATAAATCACTTCAGCTTAATATTTTCCTCTCACTGGGGGGTGGGGGGATGTTAGTCTGTGCAGGTGTTTTGGGAAGGGTCCTGACAACAACCATCTTTGTCACTGTCCCTGAAGTTAACTGGTGCTGTTTTTGACTTTGCCTCTAAGACTCAAGATCAGTACAGATTGTTGCTTTGAAATGTTTTACCTAGGAGACCCTCCTTCTCGGGTATATTGTTTAAATCCTTTCCTAAAACTAGATTATGCCTCCTTCCATGTCTGTAGTTAGACTCTGCAGCCCTCCTGAAACTCACACAGCTGAATATGAAAACATTCTTCCTTTACGTCTTTCAGTTTCCTTCTCCAGGTGCAGCTCCTGTGCCAACATGCAGCACATCCTGAGGCCTGTGCTGGCATCCCACCCTGTCTGGTAACCTTACTCTGTGAGGTTCTTGTTCTCTGGGACTCCAAGGCAACACTAAGAAAGTCACCTACAGAACCAGATTTGAGGCCATAGAAATAGCAGCACTTTGGGGACAGATCCACTCCCCCGTTTTATAAATGGGGAACTTGAGTTCCAGCCCCACAGTCAGTTAGGCAGTCAGCAGCAAGGCCGGATCCATCCAATTTAGCATACTGCCAGAGGGGGTTCCATTCCTCTGTGGTGTCTAGCACTTACTGCCACCCTGTGCCCACCCCCGGCCCATTCCCCTTCTGATGAGCCCCTGTTCTACATCAACATGGTGTGGATGTCCCAGCTGTCAAAGGTTCAGCACTTAGATGGCTCCTAGGTGAGAGCTCCAAAGGTACATATGAGAGTTCTATGGTGCAAGCTGGCCATGGCCTGCACCCTCTTTAGACCAGCCAAGACCGTTTGGCTCCACCCCACACCTTCAGTGATGGGATGGGAGGGAGAAGGCCCATGCCAAGTTGACCGAAGACTTCCTCAGCCATAACTTGGCAGATGTTCCCTCACTGTGAAATGTCTTGGAGACCAAGGGTTTACGGTTCCTGAACTTCTCACATCAGGCAAACCCAAGGAGGAATCCTGTCGATACGCACTCTCCAGTTGTGATCAGCAAGGTCAGAAGTTTCCTCACCCTCTGTGCCACAATGCATACCCCTTGCAGCCAGACACTAGGCACAGGTTCTTCCCTGTTGTAGCCCAAATGTCAGCTGAGAACTCCCTGCCCCTTGAGATCCAGACAGGTCTGTTGACTCTGGGCTCCGGTTCTGAGCATCTGGATTTCCATGATTTCTAAGGGACTTATATTTTTGCACACTGCAGACTTCTGCTACTTCATTGTAAGCAACAATGTTGTCTCATCCCTGCATTGCACCAGCTGAGATATGAAGCTCAGTTCCCTCCCCCATTTCCACAAACAGCAAAATTTAAATGACTGAGCATGTATGTGCCTCTCACTGACGTGAAGGGGAACTGCAGACACTGCAGCAATGCAGACTTGGCCCCCCATTCATAGAATGTTCTTGTGACACACTACAGAGGAATCCCCACTCCCCTTGCACTCTGCCTGGTCCCTGTCTCCCTGCCTTGGGACAAACCAAATCCATATATATTCTCATGTACAGCAGTACAGCCACTCCTTTTCTTAATTTGATTCTTGCCAACACCCTTACCATCACGATTTCACCTTTTACCACTGGTGGTTTATTAAAGGCATTTTCCTAAACAAAGACTGCTCCCTGCTCCAGGGGAACCTGAGTGCCATCTCTTAAGAAGATTCAGTTTTCATTCTCCCTACAGCAGCCAGGCATCTCAACTACCATATTCGCCACTAGCTGCCAGGGGCACGCCTTATGGGAGGCAACATGGACTAAAGTAAGTGGTACCAGTTTGAGTCAGATCTGGTTCAGATCCTGACTCAGATAACTTAAAACCTGTATGACCTAGGGACAGTCACTTCATCTTGTTATACCTTAGTTTTGTGTATGAATGTGATAAATAAACACAATCTTGAGTGCGTGGCACTTAACCACATGCCTGGCTTTCCAGGTTCCTTTCCTCTTGCTTCCTGCACTGTGAGCAGTCACAAGCAGCGCCTTCCTGTGATCATGGCTCAGCGCCAAGGGATAAAAGCCGGCAGACAGCAGCTTTACAGCTGGTCTGTAAAAAAGAGATGCAGGGAGGCAGAGGGGGGTTGAGGGTAGGGCAGAAGGCTGCTCAAGCATGCTGTGGTTCAGGCTTAATGACTGGAAGGTCCCATCCATCCCTGAGATTCTATGATGCTATAGTGCAAGATACAGCAGATATATTTGGCTTAGAAAAATCCTGGAGGAAAGGCTGCCTCGGAAGTGACCTTGGATGATTTAGCACCTGGTGTTTTTGGCTCTCCCTGTATTAGGTTTGCTGGCTTTGCATCAAATGGAAAGAAGAGGTGTCAAGGACTTGGAATTAAACCTGTCAAACAGAGGATGGCAGGAGTGCAGAAGGCTGGGGGAGTTGGAGGGGGCTGTGTGAGGAACTCTGATCGTCCCGCAGTACCATCTGGACTTGGCAGGGATGACACCCTGAGATCAATGGAAGTAGCCAATAACACAGCTAAAATTCTGTTGTCTTGGGCCTGTCCTGAGTGGCACTCACAGAATCTCCTATTTAGAAGGAACACTGATCTCCTGTAAGGGGAGAGCTGGGGCCCTTAATCACTCTGCAGAGCTAATAAAGGTCTTTGCGAAGGCAGGACTAGGCAGGCGCCTGGTTTGTTTAGTCCCACCTGGAGACCCCCAGAGCTCCAGTGGTGTGCTGGAGCCGGCTTGTACTGGCCCATGAGAGCAAATTGCTAAATTTTCAGGAATTTTGTGAGCTGGTTGTTAAACATAGCCATCATTAAAGATTAAAACCTATAATATATAAACCTACAATTAAATAAACTATATATAAGACAGGTAAAAAAAATATTCAAAACATCACTTTCTAATTATTTTACTATTATTTATGTTGTTGAGGTTATTGACATCTATTGCATGTGTATGACGGAAATACTATATAATGGTGACCTAGGGTGTCTCTTCCCAACTCCACCATTCAGTGATGTCACACTGGTAGTATAGAATCACCCATGGTGGAGGTATTTATACCACAGAGATTAGCAAACATATATCAAGGTTTTCCTCCTGGGAACTGGTTGTTAAACATTTATCAGCACACCACTGCCACTGGGTGACAGAGAAAAGAAACTGACACACGTAAGCACTGAAACATCTCAGTTCCAGGAGGTAGCATGTGTGATGTATTTCTCAGAATCAAGTGTCCTGGTACAATGTGCACAACTGACTTGAAGTAAAAGAAAACCACTTGAAAACACCGCTCCCCTGCTTTTTTTTTTTTTTTTTTTTTTTTTTTCTTTTTTTTTTTTTTTCCCGCCTTTTTTTTTTTTTTTCCCGCCTTTTTTTTTTTTTTTCCCGCCTTTTTTTTTTTTTTTCCCGCCTTTTTTTTTTTTTTTCCCGCCTTTTTTTTTTTTTTTCCCGCCTTTTTTTTTTTTTTTCCCGCCTTTTTTTTTTTTTTTCCCGCCTTTTTTTTTTTTTTTCCCGCCTTTTTTTTTTTTTTTCCCGCCTTTTTTTTTTTTTTTCCCGCCTTTTTTTTTTTTTTTCCCGCCTTTTTTTTTTTTTTTTTTTTTTTTTTTTTGCCTAGCTTCTGTGTTTTTCATATGTGAAAAATCTGTTTACTTTGTTCCTAAACTTACAATTTGTGAGGTTCAGTCTCCCCTGTGGGTAGAACTTCAGCTAGGTTCCCTCCAGGAAAGTGAGTTGTAGTTTTTCCAGCCTAATTGACAAAATGAAAATGTGCTGTAAAGAATAGGATTTAACTAGGCACAAAAATAGTTCATTTCCAAGTGTTTTACACAGCAATAACAATGTTAACTTATCTAACAGAATAAATCATCCATAAATGATTGTTTTGCTGTTTTCACTTTTTATTAAAATTATTACTGTGAAACAGAATGCTGTATTTGCCTTTGTCCCCAAAGATCTGTCTGTGCCTTTTGGATGTTCTTTTAAGGTAAGAATCACATACTGAATCTACATTTTATTATTTTTATATCATAAAATGAGGAAAAAGCTTCATAGAAACTTCGTCCTATCCACTTGCACACAAGCTGCATTCTGGAAAACCGTAATTTTCCCTTCAAATGCAGAGTGCTGTCTGAATTGTAACAATGCCAACTCTCAACTGTCAAGATGATGGAGGAAAATACTCATGCAGATGGTATGAGCTTGTCATAGGCCTGCTCAGCGTACTCGCCTGGACTGACATTTGAATTCAGATTCAAATAGCAAGTGAGAGCTGAAAGCTGTTAAAAGTGGCTGTGTGGTGCAGTACAGGGTTCCAGGGGATTGAGAGAATCTGTGTACCCACCCAAAGAACTCTGACAGATGGGTGGGGCCATCAGGACTTGTGTTTGCCTAACATTTCAAGAGGCTTTCTGGGAGAAACAGTGGTGAGACATTGGGGACTAACTTATGGTCAGCACAAGGCCCAAGACCCTTGAACTAAGGCTGTTCCCCGACTTCTAAGGGTCAAGGAGTCCCACCTGAGGGAAGAGAGTCACGGAGACAATGCTTGGTTGTTGCAGCCAAGGATGATTTGGGGCATGATACTAAGTTATACAATTAGTATTATCTTTCAATCCAAACACCAGGGAATGTGACTTGTTTCTTTTTTCTTCTTTTATATGAAAATCTTCAAAATATACAGAAGTAGAGAGAATATTTTAGTAAACTCCCTAGAAAAATGACATTTCCAGGGCCGACCCGGTGGCTCACTCGGGAGAATGCGGCACTGGGAGTGCCAAGGCCGTGGGTTCGGATCCTATATAGGGATGGCCGGTGCGCTCACTGGCTGAGCGCGGTGCGGACGACACCAAGCCAAGGGTTGTGATCCCCTTACTGGTCACAAAAAAAAAAAAAGAAAAGAAAAATGACATTTCCTTATGCCTTTACCACATATGAGGGGGTCTTCAAAAAGTTCATGGTAAGATTTGTATTATCTTTTTTTTTTTTTTTTTTTTTTTTTTTCCTTTTTGAGACTGGCTGCACCGCACTCAGCCAGTGAGCGCACCGGTCATCCCTACATAGGATCCGAACCCACAGTGGGAGCGCTGCTGCGCTCCCAGCGCTGCACTCTCCCGAGTGCACCACGGGCTCGGCCCTGTATTATCTTTTCATTCCATTTTTCCATGAACTTTTTGAAGTACCCTTGTATAACAAAATTAGCAATAATCTCTTGGTATGTATATTAGTCTGTTTTCTGTCACTTAGAACAGAATACCTGAAACTGAGTAATTTGTAAAGAAAAGAAATCTATTTCTTACAATTCTGGAGGCTGGGAAGTCCAAGGCCCAGGGGTTGCATCTGGTGAGGGCTTTGTTCTTGGAGGAGACTCTCTGCAGAGTCCCAAGATAGCGCAGGGCATTGCATGGCAAGGGCCGAACAAGAGCACGTTAACATGCTCACTTACTCTCCTTATAAAGCCATCAGTGCCACTCCCATGATAACTCATTCATCTGTTAACCTAGTAATCCATTAATCCATGAATAGATTAATCCATTCATGAGGACATAGCTCTCATGATCCAATAACCTCCCAAAGGCCCCACCTTTCAACACTGCCACATTGGAGATCAATCTTCCACATGAGCTTTGGAGGGGACAAACATTCAGATCGTATCATTACTATTTAATACCCAGTCCATATTCAAATTCCCTCAGTTGTCTCAAGCATTTAGCTCCATCATAGTCCAGTGTTTCTGGTGGCTCAGAAAGTATTTTGCAAAGGGTGGTGATTGCTTTCCCACCATCTCGACCATGGCTCTGGCAGAAACCATGCTGAAGGGGCACCAGTGGAGACATCTTTAGGCTGGCCACAGACACCTGCCCAAGCTGTTGGATCTTGTAATTTCTTCTCCTCAAAGAATAAGCCTATGAAACTTCCCCTTCTATTTCCCAATGTGTTATGGTCTTCCTCTGTGACACTCCTGGCTTCAAGCTGCTGGCACCCACCTGTCTGTCATGCTAGTACCCACTGATTTTCCTGCAGCTGCTTCTTTCACTACAGGGATTTCCTAAATCAGGGAAGAGGCTTCTCCCAACGAGCACAGCTCTTCCACCAGCCTTAGGTCTACTATACGTACAGTGAATCATAGCTGTTTAGAGCTCTCAAAAGGCCTTGGCATTTTTGTTTGTTAGAAAATGTTGGCTGAGGGCCGGCCCGGTGGCGCACTGCTACAGTGCGCCGCTTGGGAGCACGGCGGCGCTCCCGCCGAGGGTTCGGATCCCACATACAGACCGGCCGCTCACTGGCTGAGCGAGGTGCGGGGGCAGCACCGAGGGTTGCGATCCCGTTGCCGGACACAAAAAAAGACAAAAAGGAAAAAAAAAAAAAAGAAAGAAAATGTTGGCTGAAATTCTCATGAGTCAGAGAACATTTGAGTAGCACTTGTGTCCTATCTAAAGGCACTCCTCTGACTAAAGAGATGTGGCAACTGAATGCACTGCCTGCTCAGGAATTTTCTTTTGTGGTAAAATACATTATTAAGAAATTGGTGAAATCTGACTATGATCTGTATCGTATTGTCTGATAGTATCACATCAATGTTAATTTCCCGATTTTGATGCTTGTATTATGAGAGTACGTAAGAAAGTCCTTACTTTTAGAAAATATGTTGAAATGAGCATTACTGAACCCGTGTTGGGACCTCAGACTGCATGGACCCTAAAAGATTTTAAAAGGACACAGTTTTTTTCTTGGCATGCCTTTCTCTGAGATCTCTCTTTTCCCATTGTTATTTGATATTTTGAACCTTGGTTATGGGGCAAGATGACTTATTTACATGAATGTAAAGTTGCATACCAGTCAGCCTGGAACTGCAGAGTTGCATGTGCCACATAGACCTTGGGAAACCAAGGAAGACATCAATAAAGCTATGCTGATTCCACCCCTGCAGCAGGACCCTGAGATAACAGCAAGGACAGGAGCAGAAACCAGACGAAGCCTTTGTGAGACGTTATACCTGGCTGCTTACACAGAGCCCCCACAGCTCACATCCCCCTCCCTCCTGCTTCACTTTTTCCATGTACCATTCCCTCAACCTCCTCTTTAAAAATCCCTCAATAAACCTGAGTCTTTGAGGTGGCTTTAGCCTGGCCGTTCTCCTTCAGGTTTACCAGAGAGATGGGTTAGCTTAACATTGCTCCTCAGGTCGCTGGCATTCCTGAATAAATGCTGACTTCCATTTTCACCAGCATTTGACTTTTGAGTGGTTTTTTTTTGAAAGAGGGCAGGTGGCTGGACCTGGGGCCAGTAACAGATACACACTAAATATTGACGGATAAAGAGACATCATGTCTGCAACTTACTTTCAAATGGTTCAGAAAAAAAATGAGTACTCATAGAGAGAAAATAATAAAGCAAATGTAGTAAACTGTTAACATTTGGGGAATCTGGGTGAAAGGTATTATGGGAAATCGTTGTATGAGTAGTCAGAAATCACGTCGGCCGCCTCTGCTGGATTCACCTATTCTCCATTAAATGCTCAGTTTCCTTGGGTATTTCCTTGGGCTCTCTTCTCTTCCTCATCTATATTTCATCCCTAGGTGGTCTCCATTTCCATGATATTAATTACCATCTACATGATACTCTCCAATTCATCTCCTGAACGCAGGCTTCTTAATATCAGATTGCATATCCAGTTGCCCACCTTTCATCTCTCCTCAAATGTCTCATAAGTATCTCAAACTCACCATTCTCCAAATTGAAATCATGTCCATCCTCCCCACAAACCTCTTCCAGGGCCTCCTCAACTGAGCACACAATGCCAATCACTTGCTCAAACCAGAAAAAAAAAAAAAAATACAAAACTCCAGTTGTCATTTTTGGCTGCTATCTTCCTCAACCCCTACATCCAATTTTGTTTCAAACTATGAACCATATTTTTGCACTAAAAATTTTTTTTTCTTTCTTTTTTTTTTTTTTGCTATGTTCATTAAGATTGCTCTGGGAGATCTAAAGTCCTGACAGAGGTTTGCAAGCAGGGGACAACACTTACCTAGGGTTATATATAACCCTGGTTTTATATCCTGGTCCGAATAGTAACCTTGTTCATATGCTTTTAAAACCTGCTACTGCTTATTTAAATATTTATTAGCTACTGAAATGGTGTGTGTGTGTATGCAGACATACGAAATAAAATATTTATTTCCATCACATTGCCATTGATCTTGATGAATATTAGGAAAGACATACTTTTTCTGTCAAGAGAAATGACAGCATGGTTCTGCCATTCAAATAATGCTTTGCCATCTCCTTTTGAAGCATTTTCTTTGCAAGTGCTTGTTTTGTGTGACCTATCATGCTTGAGACACTATACTTCATGGAGCCATTGTGAATTCAGAGATACCTCATTTGCACAATGTGTATCTGTAGTGAGACAGTGAGGCCTACTGGTGGTAGAGCAGTTTGGTTCTAGTCTTGGCCACCTGAGGACCTGTGGCACAGCACAGGACCAGACTGCTGCTTGGCAAGGCTGGTGAGGAGCTAAGGGAGAAAAAAAGGATGCGTTAAATGACCAGAGTTACCCGGATGGGACAAGCTGATATAGCCGTGGCTACGTCTGGGCCATGTTACAACAATAATGAATGAGGCTGTGGGGGATCAAGTCACAAAGCTACTACATGAGATGGCTGGGACTTGAACCCAGGCAAGTCTCTGTCCTCTGCATCACAGGAGCCTTTCAGAGTGCCTCTTCTCTAGACAACATAGATGTCTCATGTCTGCTTCAAATTATTGTCTGAGATAAGACAGACACCAACCTGGAATGGTGTCTCAGTCAGTTCATACCAGGGCTCCTTAAGAGACTCAGGGACATTCTCTGCCATATGAAGACCTTATGTGTGATTGATGCTGAATTTTGCTATTTGTTTTCTATGTGCCCCAAGTCCTTTTTGTTCCTCTATTCCTCCTTTACTGCCTTCTTTTGCTTTAAGTGGATATTTTTTAGTGTACCACTTTCATCCCTTTGTTGATTTTTAACTATTTTTGAGAGTTATTTTTGTAGTGATTGCTCTAGAAGTTATAATAGATATTTGAATCACCATCTACCTCAGATTAATGCTAACTTAATTCCAGTATAGAATTAAGAATAGAGAAACTTTGCTTCAATATAGCTCTATTCCCTGCCCCTCCTTTGGCAAAGACCTGAGAAACATGTATCACTGGGAGACTTCTGGGAAATACAACAAACTATCTGCAGTTTAATTACAAATACCATGTTAGTGACTTGACTACACATTTCTCAAAGTCATACAAAGGTCATGATAAACGACAGCATTACTGATTTCTGTGACTAAAGTTCTATGTTCCCTCATATATGCTGTGTAAGAATAAAATCACAGCTATGAGTGCAGTACCAGGGTAAGAGGGTGGAAACTTCAGCAGTCCAGAGTATCTCAAAGCAGTTGTGCAGGGCTGGAATACATTAGATGTTCAGTAGCCCTTTGAACAGCCCCTAACACAGAGTCATGAATCACTAAGTAATGGGATGGTCTTCAGCTGAGATGAGTCTTAATAGCTCTTGAATTGTGCTTTGCTCATTGACACTGAGCTCTTGTTCTTTGGCTAGATTCAGGGCTCTCACAGCATATTCCTGTGCCTGAAATAGAATTACAGTGATAAAAGGAAATTGTCACAGAAAAACATAAGATTGGGAAGCCCCATCTGTGCTCAACTCCAGAAACATGGGAGACAATTCATCACATCCTCACACCAGCCACTGAGCTCTTGTTGATAAGCCTGTGAACACATGTAGGGCCCTTAGGGCCCTAGAAATCCCACCTGACTTGACAAACTAAGTACAAACTAAATACACCTTCTTAGCAAAGTGAGATCTTTGTAGGATCTTAATCAGAGCCCTACGGACCAACACTGGAAGGCACAGAGGTGATAGGTGCCACAAGTAAATTACCATCCTGGGGCAGTCCTGGGGGCCACGTGGCCCAGAGTTTTGACTTGGACAGAGGCTCTACAGGACATCTTAGGACAGTCTCTGGTTTCCCTCCCTCTCTCCTTTCCAGTAAATATTTATTGAATGGCTACTATTTTCCAGGTACTGTGACTATAGGCAAAAATTCCTGTCTGCATGAAACTTACAATATAACAGGGGAGAGAGACAATAAACAAGATAGTATCTCAAAAGCAGTATATGATAAGGAAAAAAATGAAGTGAGAAAGGGGAATTGGAAGCATTGGGGTGGCAGTGTAGTGGGGTTTTGCAGTTGTAGACAGGGAGGATGCTGAAAGATCCACTGAAAAGAAGACAACTGAGTAAAGACCTGAAGGAAATGAGGTACCAATCTTGACATACAGATGTGTCCCTTTTTGTCCAAGCACCTCTGGTAGATCTAACACCCTTAACACACCTTGGGGTAATTACTTCCTTGAGTACACAGTGGAAATTGGGCCCCGCACTGTAGAAAAGAGGTTTTGTCCAATGCCAATTTGAAGATTCAATAGAAATTCTTCCCTATGCCCTAACCATTCCTATCCCTATTCCAGACAGGGACAGTGTCCCTCTTCTGTGCTCCCTCAGTTCCCAGGGCTTTGCTATCACACTCTATTACAACTTGCTGGCTGTGAGCTCCTCCTGGCCCTGGCGTATAGTATGTGCTCTGAAAAAAGTTTGCTGAAGAAAGGAAAGAAGGAGGAAAGGAAGGGAGGGAAGAAATCTTAAATTTTCTCATGTTACCCACACAGAAAGGCCTCCTCCAACAAGCCCCTTCTCCCTCCCTCTGCCTGCTTTATTTTTCTTCATGGCACTTTTCACTATCTGAAATTACTACATTTCTATGCTTACTTGTTTGTTTATTTAGAGGAGGGGGAGTCACAATAAGTTCCATGGAGACAGGGAACTGTCCGGTTGTTTGACACCGTATCCCCAGTCCCTAGCACAGTGCTGTGCAAATGGTAGGTGCTCAATAAATATTTGAAAGAATGAGTGAATCAGTCAACCAATAAATCAATAAACCTGAGATATGCCACTTACTGTCTGCACGACATTAGGCAAATAACTGACCCTCTCTTTGCCTCAGTTTCCTATCTATAAGGTGGGGGTAATAAAATGCCCACCTCATAAGGTTGGTTGGTGTGAGAAATATGATAACTATGTAAAGGGTTTAGGCCAGTGACTGGCATGTAATAAGTACTCAGAAACAGTTGCCTTTTAAATCATTTCATGGCAATTCATTTCTGCCTGAATTCCTGCAGCAAAGGAAACTCAGTAACTGAGTGTAGTTAGAGCTGCCATGTCACTCCTCCAAGGACTGCTCAGAGCCCTCCTGCTCTGCAGTCTTCCTGGCACTGTCCCAGACTCAGTTTATCTATGCAACCCTGGGAAGGCCCACTTGAGGGAAGACAACAATTCAGTTTCCATTACAGTAGTCCCCTGATATATGCAGGAAATAAGTTCCGAGACCCCCAGTTAATGTCTGTAAACATGCAAAGTACCAAGCCCTATATGTATGTTTTTTCCTATAATATGTACCTATAATAAAATTTAATTTATTAGGCACAGTAAGAGATTAACAACAACTAATAATAAAATAGAACAATTATAAGAACATACTGTAATAAAAATTATATGAATGTGCTCTCTTTCTCTCAAAATACTGTAATGTTTTCAGATCACAATTGACTGCGGGTAACTGAAATAACAGAGAGTGAGACCAAGGATAAGGGGGGACTACTGTATGCAGGCTAGACTCGAAATTGAGAAATGTCATGAGCATCTGAACTTTTTTAGTGTGGGGGCTTGCTCTGAGAGCAAAAGCTAATGGAATTGAGCAAAACACAGCTGAATTCTACTACGTGAATTTCTTCCTCCATTTCAGACATGCTGATTTTCTAGGGAAACTTGCCTTTGACAAATTCATCATCAGAAAGTAAAGCATGACCAGGATCTTCAGAACAAAGATAGTTTTTTGGGGTGCCTTGTCAGATGTAGATTCTCGGAAGTTCAAGATTGAAGTCAGGATCCGAATGGCTTCTGCTTCCTGGGCTTCATCTGCATTGGAGGAAGAGGAAAGAAAAACAGGCCCTGGGTAGCCGAGCCTGTCCTCATCACAAGTACTCAGCTGTTAGGGCGCCTGGCCCGCTGAGGCCTCCTGGCAGGGGCACTGCCACAAGCCACAGCAAGTTCTGTACCTGGAGGGCTGCCTCCACATGGAGAGTGGGAAGTGGGACAGTTTCAGCCAGCTCTCCAGCCCTGCCTTTTATGTTATCATCAGAGTAACCTAAAAAAATACTCACTCCCACAGGCCCCACAGTTGCTAAAGTTCTCTCTTTCAGAGTCCTGAACTTTAGATCTCTTGAGTTCCCAAATACAGGGAGTCTGTCACAGCTGAATTCATTTGGTCCAATTTGGCTTCCGCTCTTTAGCTAAGAGGAGGGAGCCAGGGTAGGGAGGCTTCTTGCAGCAGCTGCAGCTTAGTTCTCCCCTAGTCCAAAGATGCTTAAGCAATAGCCCTCTGCTTTTCCATGTGAGTCTGTTTACTATTTACCCCAGTAGTTTTTGATCCTACTTTAGCCACCATTTATTAAACAGTTACTATGGGCCAAGTACTTATAAGCACTTATTTAAGTATTAAGTTTAGAGAAAAACACAAAAAGGACATACACCATCATGTTAAGGTTCGCTATCCTTGGATATCTATCATTTCCAAATTTTCTGTTGTAACATGATCTGCTTTTAAAATGAGAGAAAACCCAATAAAATTATTAATTTTTAAAGTCTTAGCTTAAAACCTCTCCTCCAAAAAGTCTTCTTTCTTCATTACCACCCAACTGTCCTCACCTGTTTATTCTCGGACACATCTTGTAATATAATCTCTACTCATAGAAATGTTCTTTTGTTCTTGCACACAGGTTCTGTATCACCAGTTGCACTGTCTCTTTTGAGCAGAAATTAGATCCTCTGTCTCTTTTTATTGTCGCAGAGGGTATGATGCTGTACAGCGCTACTCAATACTCAGCCCTTTGCTGAGCCTGGGCATGGAGATGATCCCATTTGGCCCTGCCACTGAGACACTCACTGTTCCGTAGAAGAGGAGGAGGCGGCACCAGAACAAATCAGCAATGAAACTTCTGTGCAGAGTCTACCTTGGCTTATGTGCCCTAGAGTTATAACACATAAGAAACAGATGCTCTGCAGAAATCACAAGGGGCTCTTACGGGGTCCTTTTTCCTCCAAATCTGTCCCTTATTAGTGTCCTGAAAGTCTGTTTGTGATGATAGGGATCTGAATTATTCCCAACACTGGCAAAGTTTCTTTGATTTCCATGTCTTAGTTTTCCCCATCAGCAAAATGGGGCAGATGGCTCTGATGTGCTCCATGACAGGGACAGCTGCTCTCCCTCTTGGGGCAAGCCTGTGTATTAGGTGGGATGAAGTCACTGCTCTGCCTTCTAGGGAGAACTGCCACTTACCCAATCCAGTGTCATTCTCAAATCGTTTTCCCAGTAAATCTATTTGTTGGAGGCGAGCCTCTGAGAGGACTTGATAGTGGTTGTTCAAATATTTATGCCAGATCTCAGTGACCTGTTGGGAAAGAAGATGACAATCAGACCAGCAGGCCAGACGTCAGCCATTGGACCAACCAGGTGGGGAGAGTAGTACATCTGGCCAGGTTCCCTGACAGTCTGGAGGCTCCCTCTGTTACTGTGCTTGGAGGCAGAGGAAGACCTAGGAGCTCAAATGGGGCGGGCTAAAGTGATGGGCTGCAGAGGGCACGTGGCAGGCTCAACTGGGGGCAACCCCACTGGGGTCTGAAAACAATGGCTAGCGCTGTGGAGTTCATACAGCACTTAACTTTTCCATCCTTACAACAACCCAATTGAAGTAACATTATTCTCATTTTAAATGTAAATAAACTAAGGCTCAGAGAAGTTAAGATCACACTTGACTTCTAGTAAGAGCTGGTAAGTGGTATAGCCAGGATTTAAACTCAGGTCTGCCTGACTCCAAAGCTCATTGCTTTTCAACTACACCAAAATGCCTCTTCCTAAGAAGTGGGTCTAAAATGTGAATCAACGGTCCACAGCATGAGAGCCTGTATCACACACAGAAATCGTTGTTTGCTAAGTGAGGTTTTACTGTATGAACATACCAACATTTTAATATATTGGAAACAGTTTAAAATCGTTTACATGTAAAGACGGAAATTTTAAGTACTCTCCTGTTCTTTAATCCTGTGACAGGAACTTGCAGCAATAACTTTCCCTCGAAAATCTCTTCTTCTCTATCGCACACCTCGGTGTGCCCACATTAGCTTGCTCCCATGGGTATGACAGAGTGTACAGCAGTCTATGTGGAGGGATTTGGTTCGTACTGACCCTTTGTTATTATTTGTTAATCACTCTAGGGATGCTAAGGACTAGTCTATTTTGGAAGTGGAGAAACAAGAAGAAAGAAAAGTGGAGTATATCATGTATCACGCTATGTAAACTTGGACAAGTCTTTTCATCTCTCTTTGCCTCTTTTTATGGTATGTCTCTCATGAATGGTCTGACACTAGTTGTAAGATACCAAGTCTAAGTGTCAAGGCTCAGATCCCACATTCCCCAGCTCACCTTGTTGTACAATGTGTCTGCCAGGTCCAACTTTTTAAGGTCACAGAAGATATTAACCAGGTGGAAGTAGCCTCCTGAGGTTCTGATGTCCTCTGTTCCAAATGCACAACTGGCAAAATAAATCTGTAGCAGGAAGAAGAAGGAGATTGCTTGAGTTCCCTTTGCATATCATGTATCTGATAAAGGACTTGTATCCAGAATACATATAAAGGACTTTTACAGCAGCCCAGTTTAAGAAAGGGCATTTCTCCAAAAAGATATATGAATGGCTTATAAGCACATGAAAAAATGCTTAACCTTGCTAGTCAACAGGGAAATGCAAAATAAAACAACAATGAGATACCACTTCACACCCACTAGGATGGCTAGAATCAAAAGACAGAAAATAACAAGTGTTGGAGAGGATGTGGAGAAAACGAAACCCTCATACGCTGCTGGTGGGAATGTGAAATGGTGCGGCCTCTGTGGAAACAGTTTGGCAGTTCCTCAAAAAGTTAAAACACCAATTCCTCTTTTAGGTACCTACCCAAGAGAAATGAAAACACATGCCCACGCAAAAACTTGTACATAAATGTACATATCGGCATTATTCATAATAGATGAAAGTGGAAATAACCAAAATGTCCATCAACTGATGAATGGATACACAAATTGTGGTATATCCAGATGATGGAATATTACTCATCAATAAAGGGAATGAATTATGATACATGCAACAATATGGATGAATCTCAAAATAATTATGCTAGGTAAAAAGAAGCCAGATGCAAAAGACCACATATGATTCATTCTATATAAAATGTCCAGAAATAGCAAATCTATAGAGATAGAAAGTGGTTGCTTGGGGCTGGGATGGGACTACAAATGGATGGGAGGGATTTCTTTGGGGTAAAATGTTCTAATACTCGATTGTACTGATGATTGCATATCTCTGTAAATTTAGTAAAAATCGTTGAACTGATGGTATGTATCAATGAAGTGTTTTTAAAAAGCTAGGCTGAGGAATCTGAGCTTGATCTAATTACTAACCATGTGGCCCAGCTCAAGACAGAATGTACTTCTGCATATTAATTTGCTGGAGGACGTAGAGTATAGAGAGGAAACGCAAATGAAGGAATGTGTTAGTTAGGGGCCAGGTGGAAGTAGACGAAACCCTCAAATGGATTGCCTGAAGATAGTTTAATGGAAGAATTATTTGAGACGTGGAAGGGTTGAAGAACCAACAAGGGCTAGTGAAGCACTAGGGACTACCAGCAACAAGAGACTATCACCATCTCTACACCTGCAAAAGCAAGGGGAGAGGAGAGTGTTACCAGGGCCCGGTGAGAGCTAGCGCTAGGGAAGAAGGCCGCAGAGGAACCGTGCCCCTGCCAGAGCTGGGGTGCGGCAGAAAGGCAGCAGAGAGAATAAACACCCCAACCTCTCTCTCCTCCCACCCTCCACCCCTCTGCTAGGCCTCCCTCTCTCCAAACCCACCCAAAGCCAGACAGCAACAGAGTCCAGGTTGTGTGGTTCCTAGAGGTCAGCTTCCCAGGTCATAAAGTAGGACAGAAAGTGAATTTGGGGTAGGGGGATAGGGAGATATGGAGAATAATCAGCATAAGAATGAATTTATGGGCATTGTGCAGTAGCAAGCAACAAGAGAGATGCTTGCCTGGTGGAGAGGCCAGTGGAGAGGTTGAAGAGAGAACCAACCCTCAAGCAGACTACAGTCTGACCCCAACTTAACCCAGATTTCAGGCTCAGGAACTCTTCTCTCTGATAATATTTTCCAATACTGAAATCCTAATAGATACCTCATAAATTTTGAAAGAATGGCTCCGTTATCACCCTCATCATCCTATATAACATTTGTACAGAGTTTTATAGTTTTTAAGTGCTTTCTTATACATCTACCTCATTTAAATTTAATCACCCATTGTGAAGTAGATACATTAATATTACTTTTTTTTTTCCTTTTTGTCTTTTTTTTTTTTCGTGACTGGTAACGGGATCGCAACCCTCAGTGTCATGCCCGTACTGCGACCGGCAATGGGATCGCAACCCTCGGTGTTGCGCCCGCACCGCGCTCAACCAGTGAGCGGACCGGTCTTACTTTTAAAAATAATAGCCAAAGTACTGTACATATATCGTCCTGTTATTAATCTTTGCAATGACCCAATGAGGCAGAGACTATTTTATGATTTCTATCTTACAGGTGATGAAAGAGGTTAAATAATTTGTCCAAGACTAGGTGGCTAGTGATACAACAGAGCTGGGACTAGAAGCAAAGCCCTTCTCAGGATGCTGCTCTGTCTCCCTTTATTATCCTCAGAGCAACTGAGGCTTTGGGAAGATATTCCCTGGCCAAGGCTGCGTAGCCAGGAGGTGGAAAGGCTTGAACTCAGATAGTCAGAATTGTGCTCTTGCTAATATCCCACAAAACACTCAACTGGGAACAGAAAGTCTTTAGAGAAATGCTCAGTTAAAAACAAAACAAAACGGGCCGAGCCCGTGGCGCACTCGGGAGAGTGTGGTGCTGGGAGCGCAGCAGCGCTCCCGCTGCGGGTTCGGATCCTATATAGGGATGACCGGTGCGCTCACTGGCTGAGCGCGGTGCGACCGGTCTCAAAAAGAAAAAAAAAAAAACAACGAAATAGCTGTTACAGGAAACATCCAGGTGTTATAATTTAGCTTGTTTACATCATTGGCCAGATGATAACGGGCTTCCTCATAGTTTTCCTTAGCCATATAGAGCAGTCCCAGGTTCCGATGCAGTAAAGAGTGGGTGGCATTACTACAGTCAGTTGATTTAAGGACTGTCCACTGGGCCTGGGACAGATATTCTTCAGCCTGGATGATCTGGCCTAGACCTGTCCAAAAGCAGTAGAGAAGGTTATAGTTCATATCCTGAAAAAAGAACACATGACGAGATATGAGTCATCACCCATTGACTCCAATATTTATTGACACACAGAAACTTGTACACTAATGTTCATAATAACTTGCTCATAATAGCCAAAAAATAGAAACAACTTAAATGTCCATCAGCTGAGGAGTGGATAAACAAAATGTGGTATATCCATATCCATGAGTGGAATATTACTCAGTCATAAAAAGTAATGATGTTAGTGATACATGCTACAACACAGATGAAACTCGAAAACATTATACTAAGTGAAAAAATTCACACACCAAAGGCCACGTATTGTATGATTCTATTTATATGAAATGTCCAGAATAAACAAATCCATAGATACAGAAAGTAGATTAGTGATGGCCAGTGGCACTGGGGTAAGGTGGGGGTAGGAGGTGTGGAATGGAGATCAGCAGGGAATAACTAACAGTTACAGGGTTTCTTTTAGGGATGATAAAAATGTTCTGGAATTAGATAGCAGTGATAGTTCCACAACCTTGTGAATAATACTAAAACTACTGAAATGCACTTTTAAAAGGTGAATTTTATGGTATGTGAATTATATCTCGATTAAAAATATATATACTGAAGACCAGGAATGTACAGCTTAGGGCTTGTGTCTGGGAGGCCTCTTGAAACAGCAGGAGTTCCTTCCACCTCTTCCCACTGTCCTCTCCTGTGCTTGGGGTGGGGTGACTCGCTCTACTTGTCTGGGCAAAGAGTGGCACCTGGGTAGAGAGTGGGACCTGTTGCCAGGCTCTCCAGGTGGTTCTGGGACTCAATCCAGGGAGCAAATGTGGGCCTTACCCTCAGGACCCCTGGGAGCAGGAACATCTGAGCCCCAGGGATTGGTGCACACAGCAGGGCTTGGGTTTGAAACCAGGCTCTGCTGCTTGGTCACTGTATGAGCTTCTTGCTGTGCTGATCTCTCTGGGTCTATTTCCTTATGTGAAAGATGACGTAAGACACCTACCTCTCAAGGCTGCCCCAGGGCTTAAATGAGACCATGTGTATGGGCCAGTTCCCGAAGCACCTGGCATTCCCTAGGTGCACCTTCAGCGTGTGTTCACTGCTGCAGCCTCTGCTGAGACATCTGACCCTGGTCCTTTCTCTCATCTCCAGTGACATGAGGTCATTTACAATTTATATTTACAATTTATAATATTTACAAGTATTAAATTCTCATCCACTAAATATATATATGCATATTTAATACCTTTTATGTGCCAATCCTTGTGTTGAGTGATGAGAATTCAAAGATAAATTAAAGCTATTACCCTTGGAAAACTCACAGACAGGTTGGGGGAAGGCTTGCGCAGCATGGAAACAAATATAACACAGTATAAGAGCAACACAGAAACATAAGTGTTGGAAGTGGCAGAGAGCTGGAAATGTTTGATTGTGTGGATGGGGTGGAGAAGAACAGTGGAGGGGGGAGAGGCACAGTCAGCAGAGTGAGCTGGGCTTTGAGGATGAATAGACATTTTCCAGACAGATAAGGGAGTGAAGGCATCCCAGGCAGAGGCAATGGCACATGTAAGTCAAGGAGATATGAAATAGTATGCTACGTTTGGAGGACTATATATTGGTCTGTGATGTTGGTGCACAAAGTGCAAAGGAGAGTGGCTACTCCATGTCTGTTCACTGACTTGATGAGCACTGCTAATGGCCCAAACTAGGTCAGTGAACAGAGATGGAGTAGCTACAATTAGCTACAAGGAGAGAGAATGAACAACGCACAGTCACTAAATGATGTAGAAGGTAAGAGAAAAGAAAGTCACTTTATTTCTAATATTCAAATACTCTTGACACTTCAAACTTTTGGTTTAGCTGTAAAAAGATGTAATAGCTGCCTGCCTACCTGCTTGCTTGCTAGGGAGGTTGTCAGAATGGAACAGAAGACTACTGAGCCAGCATTCTGCACACGAGGAAGCATGCTCTGGGTGTGAGGTATTTCGTGTGACAGATGCTGCAGCAGAAATGGCACCAAAAACAGATCAGGAGATGAGGAGTTAATTAGGTGAAGGAGAGGGGAGGAAAAGTGGAGAGAGTGGCTAAAGAAGAGCCTTCCAGAACAAGGACCACCACCTTGCCTCTGAGGAATCCTGAGAAGGCCAGTGTAACTGGAAGGGACAGAGAAAAGAATTCAAATGAGACAAGTGAAAGAAGTGAGGTGAGAGAGTTGGCTAGGACTAGAACAAGCAGGGCCTTGTAAGTTGCTTTAGGAATTTGGTCTGTCTTTAGGAGAGCAATTTGATCACATTTGTGTTGAGATCAGATTGGAGGGAGGCCAGAGAAGATGTGGGGAGACCAGTTAGCAGGCAGTAGTCCAAATGAGAGATGATGGGACTTACGCCGCACTGACTTTTCCAAAATTCCATAATTAATCACTGTCAGAGATAGACAGAACCTGGGCTGTATTTCCTTGTCCAGTGCTCTTTACACTAGTTTGAAGGAAGGATGGTCCAGAATGGAGTGTCAGACCTAAGCGGAGTGAGGAGAGCAATACCGCAGGTAAATGGCCTGGTACAGGGAGTCAGAGCCTGAACAAGTGAAGAGGGGATCCATGCAGAAGCGGCCATGCAGAATGGGGAGTCAGAGCCAAGGAGGGAGAGAAGGGCATCTGCAAGGGGGAAAGGATAGGGTTGGAGACGGGGATTGGTTCATACAGGGGAACTGATTAAATATATGGAATGGGAGAAAATTAGATTGAACCCTGTGGTGTTGCACTGGACTTGGATGTACTAATATAGACTCGTGGTCATACAAATATTGATATATATATGGATAAAGAAATAAATATAGATGTAATGCGGATGTATATAAACACACATGATTATATTTATACACATTCCCTTATTCTGCCCTCTGAGAAGGCTGAGACCAGCAATACTCCAATAGCAAAGAGTACGTCTAGTGCACAGCTCTTGGTTTCTGATTTCATTTTCACTAAAAGAAATCAGGGCTCCTTGGGGTTATGTTCCAGAAAGCAGGAAAGTAATTAAAGAACAATGGCAATGTATCAAGAAGATGTGGAAGCCGGCTCGAATGGGGGCTGTCACTGGCCAAATCAGGGACAGTCTGAGCACCAAATGAATGGTAGTAATGAATTATAATAATAGGAAACCAAGAGCCTAAATCAAATAAATAAACACATTGAAAGTTTAATGAGGGATGGATTATTTAAATAGTTTCAAAATAACTCCCCATAAAATACTTATTGGGGGGAGGAAAAAGTAACATTACAGACACCATCTTAATAAAATAATTAAAATGAACATCATCAGTAATGGAAAAACTGAAAATATGCCAATTTATAGATTGGAATGAGAACACATATCACCTCTGTGATATTCCTGCCAGAAATCCATAACCTCAGTCCAGTTATGAGGAAACATCAGACAAACTCACATTGAGAGATGTTTCATAAAATAATTGGCCTGTAATCTTTAAAAGTGTGAAGGTCATAAAAGTCAAGGAAAGACTGAGAAATAGAAAGAAGACTAAAAACACTTGGCAAACAAAACAAAAAGCGTGATTCTGAACTGTATCCTTTTGCTACAAAGATGTTATTGGGAAAACTCGACAAACCTGAAAGAGGTTTTCTCAGTAGGTGACAATATATGAGGCTGTATTGTGCTTGTAAAGGAGAATGTTTTTGTAGGAAATACACACTGAAGCATTACAGGGATAGGGCATCAGGTAAGCAAGTTACTCTCACATGGCTTAGGGGGAAAAGCTATATTGTATTTCCAACAGTTTTACTTTAAAAAATAATTTTTTTAAAAAAGGTAGCTATTACGGTATATAAAGTAGTAGTATGGTGCCTGTAACATTGTAGATGCTCAAGGATGTTAATTCCTCTCAAAATGCTAATTTTCCTCTTGTAGTAGCCACTGTGTAGGTGTCTGATAAGTATGTGCTCCCCACTCTCAGAATTACCTCTCCCATCTATAGGGCTGAGTTCCTATATCTCTGTTTGAACTATGTGACCCTGACCCCGGGGAACAAAGGTAGATGACTCAAGCTGGGTCAACAAAATTCTATCTTCTAGGAATTTGTGATTGGAAATCAGATGCTAATTAGTTTTTACTACCCATCTTGAAACTGGAGGACGTGTAAATTGAAAAACTACATGTGACATTTTGCGGTAGCTGTCTTCTGCAGTGAGCATAGGGTAGAAAAATCCGGTCTGCAGAGGGGGAAAATGAAGCAGATACCCAGAGAAAAAACAGAGGCAAAACACAAGGGCGAAGAGAGAGAAATGGAGGGCACCAGTCTTGGTTTCTTACAGCATTCCAATTCTAGTCCCTCATGAAGCCTCAGCTCCCTTACAACACTCCAGCATCCTAATAAATTCCTCTTTTTACATAGGCCAGGTTGAGTGGATTTCTGCCGGTCATAGCCAAAAGTCTGTGACATCTCCTTCCCTACCTGTGCTAAGGTTTACAGCAACCTTGCTCTTCCACAAAAGAAGTCTTGGTGCCACCGTCAAGGTTGGACTCTGGTCATTGGTATGACCCACCATAGAACTTCTTAAGGGCTCCAGGGGGTCTCAAGTCAGTTTTACTCACCAAGGCTAGCCTCGGCCAACAGCAGGTAAGCAGGCACAAGTTCTACTGAACTCAGGCCATGCACGTTCATGCGGAATCGAAGAGAGTGCAAAGCTGCTGGGACAGCATCTTCATGTTTTCCTTCAAAGAGGTATTTCTGGGCTACGGTGTAGCAGAATTCAATCAAATACTTCTGTGGAAGAGAGAAATCAACCATCTGAGACAGTCTAATGGTAAAAGCAAATGTGAATAGATACACCTGGAGATAAGGCCAATACCTAATGAACTGGTTGAAGGTACATAGTGAGTCTGCCTGTAGTGGGGTGGATGTGAGACCCAAAATAGGTGACATAAAAAGGCAAACTCTGGACTATGAGTTGCTCAAGGTCCAGGACATGTGTCTTTTCATCTTAGTCCAGTGCTTGGCATATATGGATGTTCAATATAAAATTATTAGATGAATAAATAAGGAATTATTCTTGTAGTTCTAATAAAATTTTAGTTTAGTAAAGCTATCATGTCTCAGGATAATCTAAAACTTTCTGCTTTTCTATTTGAGCTAGTTTTGAGAGAAACATCTCATTATACCTTCTAGTATTATCCTGCCTACCTGATATCAGAAACAACTTTTAAATCTGTATTGTTCTAAGGCCATATCAAAGTTTCATAATACTAAAATTGATTTATCTGATGTTTAGAGATTTATGGCTTATAAAGGCCTAATTTTTTTTAGAGTAATTGAGATGCTATCAATGCCATAATAATAGGAACTAATTTTGCTAATTTCTTTTACATATTCACCAGTATATTCATACATCATTTTTTAACCTCCTACTATATGGCCAGGCTCTTATCACAGTACTTTGCACGTGTGGGTGTTACAGGCTGAATTATGTCCCCCCCAGATTTATGTGTTGAAGCCTTAAGCCCCAGTACTTCAGAATGTGACTAGGGTTGGATAGGGGCTTTAAAGAGGTGATTAAGTTAAAATGAGGCCATTAGGATGGACCCTAACCTAATCTGACTGGTGTCCTTATCAGAAGAGGAAATCGGACACACACACGGACACCAGGAATGCATGTTCACAGAGGACCACGTGAGGACACAGTGAGAAGGTGGCCATCTGCAAGCCAAGGAGAGAGGCCTCAGAAGAAACCAGACCTGTTGACACTTTGACCTTGGACTTCCATCCTCTAGAACTGACAGAAAATAAATTCCTGTTGTTTGAGCCACCCAGTATTTTATTATGGCAGCCCTTGCAAACCAACACAGTGAGTGTTTAGTAAATATGTAGAAAACAACTGACTATGGTATTGAGGATATAAAGATATAAAACAGTCTCTGCCCTCAAGGAGGTTACAACACAGTTCAACCCCTGTCCTGGACAGTTTCGCTGCACCCATGAGTTAACCCTGTAACAGTCCTATAGGACCTACCTGCCGCAGCTGCAGCTGCTGCAGGCCATGCTGCCGTTCTTCCTCTGAATTGTAGAAGGGCATGGCAGTGCGCAGCGGAATCAGGAGCTGACATATCTTCTCATGGATGCTGCCCCAGTCAGCTCTTTGATGCACCACACCACTGACGATAAAAACATGATATTTATATTTATGTTTATCATTGGCCCGATGTAAGGTTCTATTGGCCCTCCTACTTGCCTAGCCCTAAACACCAGAAAAGTAGGCCCAACACAAACCAGGCAGAGAGACCAAAGCCATTTCCAACACACAAATCTTTTTTCTTTTCATGTGGTTATTTGATGGTGTAAAAACTGTGTTGGGGTTGGGGAGGGGTGGTGGAAGAATGTTGTTTCTGCAGGTGTACGTTCACATTCCGAAGTCATACAGGCATGCTGTGGCTATTCTGCTTAATCAATAACAACAAAGGCAACTTCAACTCTACATTGTTCTAAAGTCATTTTTAAAATGTCTGAACACCAATGATGATGGATTTGAGGGTCTTTTTCTTGGAGAAGTGAAAGGAATTTACATTTGATGAGGCTCTAGAAGACACTCCACAAACATGTTTTCCTATAACCCCTCCACACCATGTAGTACCACTAGCATTGTCTCCTGTGCGCTGGGGAGGCTGTTCACACAGAATGCACAGTGACTGTCCCCCCACCCACCCCAGTGGTGCAGCAGGTGATCTTGCACGTAGCTATTTAACTCTTTGAAAACAAAACAAAATCTGCTATTTCCATTTTAAAGGTAAAGAAGCACAGGTGTGGAAAGATTAAGGAGTTATTCCAAGCCTATACTCCAAAGTCAGTGTTTTTTAGCCTTCCAGAAAGAATCACTGTAACCGTTTGGTTTACAGTTTCTATACCACTTCACTTAAGATTCCATTGACTGTTGTATGTGCATATTTACTATTTTTAAACACTCAGTTGGGCAGCACATATATTGAACATTTGTATCATTGCAGAAAATTTCTTTTGGACAGCAGTCCTACAAAATATCCTCTCCTATACCTCAGATAAATGCATCTACGAATGATTCACAAATCTATTACCCAATTCTAACCCTTCCTCCAATCACATATTTTTTTCATTTCAATTGTAATATAATTCACATACAATAAAATTCACAATTTTACAGTATACTATTTAGTGTTTGTTAGTATATTCACAAATTTGTATAACTATCACCCTATCTAATTCCAGGACATTTTCATCACCCAAAAAAGAAACTCTGTACCTGTTAGCAGTCATTCCCATTCTTCCCTCCTCACACTGATGCCCAGTAAACACTAATCTACTTTCTCTATGAATTTGCCTATACTGGACATTGTATATAAATGAAAACACACAGTATGTGGCGTTTAGTCTCCGGCTTCTTTCACTTAGAATAATGTTTTCAAGGTTCACCTATGTTGTAGTGTGTATAAATATTTTATTCCTTTTTATGACTGAATAATATTCCACTATATGGACATACTGTAGCATGTTTTGTTTATCCATTCATCCAATGCTGGATGTTGTTTCCACTTTTTTTTTTTTTTTGTCTTTTTCGTGAACGGTAAGGGGATCACAACCCTTGGTGTGGTGTCACCCGCACCGCGCTCAGCCAGTGAGCGCACCGGCCAGTCCTATATAGGATCCGAACCTGCTGCGGGAGCATCGCTGCGCTCCCAGCACCGCACTCTCCCGAGTGCGCCACGGGGCCGGCCCTGTTTCCACTTTTTTGCTGTCATGGATAACGTTGCTATGAACATTCATGTGCAAGTTTTTGTATGAACATATGTTTTCAGTCTCTTGGGGATATACCTATGAATGGAATTGCTGGTTCATACTGTATTTCTCTGTTTAACTTTTTGAGGAATTGCCAAACTGTTTTCCACAGTGGCTGCACCACTTTATATTACGACAAGCAATGTATGAGAGATCCACTTTCTCCACATCCTCACCAATACTTGATTTTTTTCTTTTTGATGATAGCCATCCTAATGGATGTGAAGTGGTATTTTATTGTGGTTTTGATTTGCATTTCCCTAATGACTAGTGATGTTGGGCATCTCTTCATGTGCTAATTCACCATTTTTTTTTTTTTTTTTGGACCGGTAAGGGGATCTTAACCCTTGGCTCGGTGGGGTCTGCACCACGCTCAGCCAGTGAGCACACCAGCCATCCCTATATAGGATCCGAACCCGCGACCTCAGCGCTACCAGCACCGCACTCTCCAGATTGAGCCACGGGGCCGGCCCTAATTCATCATTTTTATATCTTCTCTGGAGTAATATTTGGGGGCAGCTGGCCAGTACAGAGATCCAAACCCTTGACCTTGGTGTTATAACACTGTACTCTAACCAAGTAAGCAACTGGCCAGCACCTCTGGAGTGATGTTTATTCAAATCCTTTGCCCTTATTTTAAAATCGGGTCTTTTGTCTTTTTATTATTGCATTTTAAGAATTCTTTACATATTCCTTATCAGATGAATGATTTGCAAATATCTTTGCCCATTATATAGGTTTTCTTTTCACTTTCTTGATGCACAAAAGTTTTTAATTTTGATAGTGACTAACTAATGTATTTTTGTCTTTGTTTTCTTGTGGTTTTGATGTCATATCCCAGAAACTGCTACTAGTCCAAGGCCACACAGATTTACAACTATGTTTCCTTCTATAAGTTTTATATTTTTAGGTCTTACATTTAGATCTTTTTGTGTATGGTTAATTTTTGTATATGGTGTAAGACAGGGGTCCAAATTAATTCTTTTGCATGTGAATATTCAGTTGTCTTGGCACTATTTGTTAAGGACCCTTCTTTCCCCATTGAATGGTCTTGGCACCTCTGTTTAAAATCAATTGACAGATGTACAGTCTTACTTCTGGACTCTCAGTTCTATTCTGTTGACCTATATGTCCACCTATATGCCAGTACCACATTGCCTTTATTACTGTAGCTTTGCAGTAAGTTTTGAAATTAAAAAGTGTGAGTCCTCTAACTTTGTTGTTTTTCAAGATTGTCTTGCCTATTATAGGTCCTTTGCATTTCCATATGAATTTTAGGGTCAGCATGTCCATTTCTGCAAAAATGGCCTTTGGAATTCTGATGGGGATTGAATTGAGTCTAGAGATCAATTTGGGGAATGTCGTTTTAAATAATATTAAGTCTTCCAATCAACGAATGAAGAATATCTTTCCATTTATTTAGGTTTTCTTTAATTTCTTTCAACAATTTTTTGAATCTGGAGGAAATGGACAAAAATCAGTAGCATTTCTATTCTCCAATAGTGATCATGCAGAAAGAGAAATCAAGAAAGGCTGCCCATTTACAATAGCCACCAAAAAAATAATATACCTAGGAATCCAGCTTACCAAGGATGTGAAAAATCTCTATAATGAGAACTACAAACCACTCCTGAGAGAAATTAGAGAGGATACAAAAAGATGGAAAGATATCCC